AGGTAATCTACATTGAGTCATCAGGTAATCTATATTAAGTCATCAGGTAATCTACATTGAGTAATAGTGTATTCATATGGAGTCATGAGGTAAATACCAAAACATCCCCAATTTTGTTATAAGGAATGTGACAGTGGAATAAAATCATGAAATAAAAAGAGTCAAGAAATTATGTCAAAATTGCAGTATCACAGATTAAATGACCAGAAACATCAACAAATGAGAAATTCAAAACTTTCAGCAGGGAGGTTATTTTTTCTACTTTGAATGAAATCTTACTAAGAAGCTCTTTTCTAAGATGTAGATGGTAGTTTTGGTGAGGAGTAAGTTACTATAACAAGTGTAACCTATTTTTCAACAATGTCATTGGAGATCAACCCAACTGGTAAAATTTGAGAAGTTTGAAATAGGTGTTGCATAGGAAACCATGATTGCACAATCATGTTATAAAATGACCTTTCTGGCTGCCGTATCAAAGTTTTAACAAGGTAAAAAGATAACCACAATTTGTTGACTACCTTTCCTTAACATTCCCACCTATTTTTAGCTCAAAGACACCAGTGGAAGTGGAGAAGAAGTTTTTTTAAATATGTTTTTTTAAGATGGCAGCCATGGCGAAAAATAACAACACTTGGTCAGGACCCTCTCAGGATCATTTCATGCAAGTTTCAGTTCAATACCACCAGTGAGAAGAAGTTTGAAATGTCATATGTTTACACACAGCGCACTGCAGGGACGACGGACGAAGCACAATGGCTATAGGTCATCATGACCCTTCAGGTAAAATGACCTAAAAATTGGTAGGTACTTTTTTTGTAAACACAGTCAATTTTAATTCACAAACATGGACTTGTGACATCTGCTGTCACCCGAAAATTGAGAGGTAAGCAGCTACTCAAAGAACACGTAGATATGAACAGACAGCCTGACAGACAAGCAAATAAATACATACAGGTATGGACAGATGGATGAACAGACACATAGGTGATCAAGCAGAAACAGACACCACTGAGTCAAAACTCACAAGATTACAGAACAAACAGTTTCATACTGTAGTACACATCATAGTAATACAACTTTTATCTCACACATCATATCGTATTTGTAAAAGAGGTATTTCACATCGTTCAATGGTTCGTAAAATATATTAAACTTTATTTTAGAAGTGGTCAATCCTTGCTACTCATACCTTCACCAAAGCCAAAAAAATGGTGTCAAATGTGTTGTTTCTACACCTGTTTGTGATAAACAAGAAGCCCATGGGGCATGTATCACTCACCTGGTTCAGTTTGCTGAAATTGATCAATTTCAAATAAACAAAAAGTATTTTAAACACTATTTCCCCATAATAGGCCTACCCAAAGGGGATAAGATGTACTTAACCAAGACATCTTCAGTTCCAATCATGTTTCAGACCAAACTGGGACAGAATCCAGACATTCTCACATAAGATAAGAAGAATGATTATAAAGGATTTGCCCTATCACCTATTTTGGGCCCCACCCCTCCTGCCCAAGGGAGCCAAGATCAATCTTTAATACAAAATTGATTTCCATTCACCCAAGCATCTACAGGTCAAATTTGGGCAAAATCAAACCAAACCTACGGGAGGAGTAAGATTTTAAAAAATTTCCTCTATTTCCCCTATTGGGCCCCATTTCTCTGATCCCAAGGGGACGTAACCCAAACTGTCTTCAAAAAACTGATTCCCATTCAATCATAAATTCCTCAGACCAAATTTGTGTAACAGTTTAAAAGCCAGTTTGTAATATCCCCAGTCATCAATCTCTGTGTTCTAGGTAGGCCTGTGGCATTTTATTATAAAAGATTACAGAAAACCAAAAGAGCAATGAGATCTCCGACAGGGTAACAGAAGCAAAACAAAGATGATGAGGTGTAGCATATTGTGTAGGCAACTGATGATATAACACACCGGCTCAATCCTCATAGACAAAGTAAATGTGTGTCTCTCAGCGAAGTGAGGCACTCTCAAGAATTACTTGCGTTACCCTGGTGACAACCTGTGTCAACCAGCCTACGCCACCATAGAAAATATTCTACAATTCCAGAACAGGATAGATTGTAAAGAAATTAACAGATTTTCCTATATTGGGCACTGTCCCTCTAGCCCCATGGGGAAGGATGGGAGGGGGAGGCGGGGTCAGAACAACTATCTATATAAAACAGATTTCCGTCATCCAAGCATGCTTCAGACGAAGTCAGGACATTATTAAGCAATTCCTGAAGAACAAGACAGATTTTAAATAAACTAATACATTTTCCCCAGTGGGCCTCACCCCTCTGGCCCAAGAGGAGTCCCACCAACATTTATACAAAACAGATATCCCTTCATCCAAGCATGCTTCTGACCAAATTTGGACATTTTTCTGCAATTCCTGATGAACAAGATAGATTTCAATGAACTTATTAGATTTTCCCCATTGGGCCTTGCCCATGTGGCCCCACAGGGGTCAGACCAATCATTTAAACAAAACTAATTTCACTTCAGGACAGGTGAGCTAAAAACAAGAGATCACTGAGATGTTGGTGCCCACCATTGTTCGATCTATACATGTTCTTTAAAAAATGGATCTTTTCCCTTCTTTTCTCTTCAGACATCTGTTTTTGATGGTTTAAGATGGCCACCTGTCAGCCATTTTGTTTTCCTGATCAGTCCCAAATTCAAACAAGCAAAATGAGGGACAAAGGGAAACCTACATATGAAATTTGATTAAATCGATCTTGTCCTCAAGAAATGCAATAACAAAAACTATTTACAGATGGAAAGACAACTGGCCATGAACATAGGGTGATCTGAATAGCCCATCTACTGATTATGGTAAGCGAAAAAACATGTAATAAACAAAATCTGATCATGAATGAACTTATCAGTCATTTTACAGTGTAACATACATATTCACCACCACTTGTACAAAATGTTCATACTTCAAAAAGGGTCAAGCTTTTGACTAAATATCGATGGACATAGCAACACATAGTAAATATTTCATTATTCAAAGTGTAGGTAATGAATTTGTAAATAAACAGGGGGAAAAAACTTCTAAAAAATTTCAAAATCCACAGTTTTGATTGAAAGACTCAATCACTGAAATATTGTTTAATCCTGAGGTGTTATACACCTGTACATTCAGTACATATAAAAGTTTTTTGAAGTCATCAAGAGAATATCTGTATTCAGAATGAGTAAGTTAAGACAAGAGATCCACCATTATATAATCTTTATTCATTTTCATACTATGGATATTTTCCCTTCTTTTCTCTTTCTAACCCCTAAAATTGTATATTGGAAAATACCTCTCGAGAAATAGCAATAATCTTACTTTGTCAAATCAAAGATGAATGCCTGTTTCCCACTTTATTTATCATGCTTCCCAATAGGAGAGCGTATAGATGCCGCTTGGTCCATCCCTGCGTTCGTCTATTCATCCGTCCGTCAAAATATTTTCCGCAGCATAACAAAACAAGAGGCCCATGGACCTTAACAGTCATCCAACTATAAAGACCTATATATGAAAGAGGCAAAATAGGCATAATAGGCATAGTCATAAATTGCTCAAATACTCTACAGCAACCTGGTCCTTTTCGTTATTTCTAACACCTGTGACTTTGAAAGTGGGTCAATGTCATTCATATTAACAAAGTTGATCCTAGCGTGCTACAGGCCGAATATAATCATCCTTGGCCTTTTGGTTGTTGAGAAGAAGTCCTTTAAAGATATTAACTTATTTGATCCCTGCGACCTTTCAAATAGATCAAGGTCATTCCTATTAACTAGGGGTCAAATCAATTCTATGATTCCCCACTCTCCCCCCCATTCCTTTAAGAAAGAGAAGCATTTTGAAGAAAATTTTTTGTCTAACTTCCCCTTATGGCCCCCTCTTCCCCAAGTCCCAAAGAGTTGAATCAACTTTCTGAATGGCTCTCCACTCTCAATGATGTTTCACACCAAATCTTGTTGAAATCCATTCAAGCATCAAGAAAGAGTAGCATTTTGAAGGAAAATATTGTCTCACTTCCTAGGGGTTGAATTAGTTTTCTGAATTTTAGAAATGATTCCCAACTATCAATGTTTCACACCAAATTTGGTTGAAATCCATTCCAGCATTAAAAAAAAAAAGAGTAGTTTTGAAGCAAAAGATTGACTTATTTCCCCTACGAGTTAAATCAAAATTTCTGAACATAAGAAATTGCCTACCCTAACTGATGAATGAGACCAAAGCTTGTTAAAATCCATTCAGGCAGTAAGGAGGAGTAAGGTTTTAAATCTAATTCCAGCACTTCCATTTGGGGCCCCGTCCCTTGACCCCTAGGGGTCAAATAAAAATTCTAAATACAAGAAATCATTACCCTCACCCAATGATGCATCAGACCAAATTTGGTTGATATCCATCAAGGTATGAAAGAGTAGGTTTTAAAGAAAAGGTTTACACACAACAACAGCCCATTCTGGAAGCGCATGTCTTTGATGACCCTCAGTTCAAATACAGACAAAACACAACTACACTAGGGACTGAGTGGATTCTTAAAATGAGATCTACATATATATAAAATTTGAAAATCATTCATTGAGACCTTCTAAAGAAATAGTAAAATATTTCATAGTTGGAAATTGATGACGATCTAACTGTCATTTTCATAATCTGATCAGTCTCAAAATCAAAAGAAACAGTAATTATCAATTTTCTAGTCAGTCCCAAAATCAAAATTGCACAACTAGGGATCACAGGGAACGCACAATTTTGTTTTTAAAAAGATCCATCAAGAACTTCTCAAGAAATAACAATTAAAAGACTTCCTAAACAGTAGACCACCATCAGATCACAGACACAGTGCGATTTGAAAATTCCTTCAAGGAAAAATTGGAAAAGCAGAGTAAAAGCATTTACTATACACTTGTGACATGGTTCTGCATATGATAGTTCTCTAAATGTAAACAAAAACATATAAATTCTTCACAAACAACAAACATAAATCATCGGCTCATGATACCTGCATTTTTTTAATTAAGAATTTCGTCAAGATCTACAATTATTTTACAAAGGTTTCTCAAGAAAATGTGATCAAATTTTACAATCTGCTCGACCAACATGATTTCTGTATTAATAACAGGCATACTGAAAAACTTAAAACTTTTCATATCATAATGTAATCATATAATTTTTCTTAACAATGGATTAAACATTCGCCTTTCTAACTTTGACAATATGAGCAGGTGCTTGCAGTGTGTAAGTCATAAGCTATGCTTGAAAGTGCACAGATTTAATAATCTATATATTATTTATGTAAATATAACCTGTATGTACAAGAAAAGGTTCCTTTCCCTATCCCTGAAATATTTTTTTCAAATATGATTAAATCTTCAAATAATTATTAGCAATAAATTTTGTTTGGTACGTAACACCAACAATATTGTTATCACTGCCAGCTACAACTGACATTTTCCACATACATGTAACTTTTTGTGAAACCTCACAGGATGGAAACAGTTTTTTTTTCAATTATTTTATTAAGCAGCAATTTTTTTAACAAACTTCTGGATATACTTTTGATTCTTTATGAATTGTGAACATTTCTCTTACATCTCTTAAGAGGTTAAGCAGACAACAATAATCCTTATTTGAAATATTTCAAACGGAAATCCTTTTTTAGTATGTACTTATAGATCAATGTACATGGGTTATGAAACGACTACTGAAATTAACAAACTGTCTCCTCACCACATTCTTTCATCAATCTAAGACAGGAATGAAATCATTTTGGATGCGAGACATTTGATTGAAATAACTTGAATATTTTTTAAATGAATTTTTAATTTGATCGTTTTTACAATAAATGTTCATGTTCAAATTTCAATTTTTTAGAGTGTACAATTAATCAACTTTAAACCAGATACAAAGATTTTTAGGAACTAACTGTAAATGAAAGTTGTGAGATTTTAAAGGAATTTAAAAGATTTGGTACACAGTGACATCTTGGATGTTCAAACAATGGGATCCTGTGTTCTGTTATCTACATATCTTCATAAATAAAACCAAAATAATATATATATATATATATATATATATAATTTCAGAATTCCTAAAAAGAGAAATTCAAATGTTGTCACAAAACTTAAAACACAAAGAGACAAATTTTTTATAATGAATGTCACTTACTGTGCGATCTACTCCAACTTTTGTGTGTTAAGGAAATTTATTGACAGCCAGTGCTATTAACTTACCATTTCTCCGTATTGACAGCAGCAGAAATATGCCTCTTGTGTAATTGCAGAAATATTTTAAAATATACCATCCTAAATCATCAGTAACTCATGTCACATGAATTACTATTACATTTCAACAACTTTGTGGGAAACTTTTGAAACAAAATGCCAGGTCCACACCTATATGATAAAGCTAACAGTTTGTAATGTCACGACTGCACCAACAAGAGGCTTACCACGCATCTGTAAGTACCTGTAAACATCTATTATTTCGGAAACAACAATTTTCACTTAGTCTCTCACACAGAGCACATGCTTCCAGGCATCCCTTCCATGTCATACTCTTCAGATATACAACCTCACAATCCACATCAAAAATTTATGTCAACCAACTAGTGGCAATTATCACCACCTAGTAATATGTACAAAACAAAGGGAAATAACTGATGAAAAACTTCAGGAAAGGGAGGGTGACATACAACAATACTTCTAAAACCATTTCATGTAGCAAAACATAAATTAAACACAGCACTTACAACGATTCCTGCAAAAAGGTTTCAATTTTTTTAATACAAAGAAACTGTAGTATTTAGGACATTTTGATTTCTGAACAGAGAGTTAGCAAGACAACAAAATCTAGAGGTTATATAATAAAGGCTGTTCAAGATAAAACTTTTGAAACTCTTTGTCTCTATTTATTGTACAATATAAAAAAAAATGTCCACAAAATATATCTTATTGAAAAGTTAGACTAGCTATTATAGCTAATTAATTAAGTAACAAGCAACTGAGTGCCATTCTAGTAAAACATCTACTTGACCCCTGGACTATCATTTCATTACCAATACCTGAATTTCCTGCAGATAATTTTTAAGCAAATTATCAATGAAATTCCCTCAGTAGTATCCCTATACAAACCAGGAGTCAGGGGTAGGACAGATATTTGTTGGGAGAGAAAATATTTCTACAGATTTACTCCAAAAAATAAAAACATTTTTTCAAACAAAACATCAACATTCATTTGTGCTTAATAATCTAAATATTTACTACCACTTGCTAGTCTATGTAAAGAAATTCATTTATCAACAATTCAATTCAATGCTTAAAGACCGATAACCATCTAAAACGAGGTAAAAAAAGATACCTTTCATCAGTGTAGCCATATCTCAATATTACGGCTGCAGGTAAAAGAATTTGTGAAAACCTAAATATTTGTATTGCTATAATCTTCGACCAGATGACATAAGTTTGAAATCAAAATGAAATTTAATTGGCATAGAGTAAAAAATGCACCATTGTCTGTATGAAAACAGATTAAAAAAAAAAATTTGAATTAAGCTCACTTATGTGAAACTGACTGTGAATATGAGAGTAATATTACTTCTTTCTAATCCATCTGAACATAGCAAAGATATATTGACTTCCTTACAGCAGAACTATTCACTTTAAGGTAGAGAAATGCTTCACCAATGTTTTAACAGAGTTTTAGGAGGAAATTCAAGCAAGGGTTAATCTAGAATAAAAAGAAAACTATCTGCAGTGGAAAGGAAATTAAACTTTTGGGACTTCAGATTTTTTGGAAAGGGAAATTTTGGCCAATAAAAAAAATTACAAAATTTTCATCAGAATGGGCATGGGGTGTGGAATAAATATATGATATTCATAAAGATGAAAAAGATACCAAATTATTGAGATAAGATCAAATAATATTTTCTTAATGTTGGCATGATTTAAAGGATCTGAAATAGGTTTCCTGAGCTCCACACTTTCAGTAAATTTTTCTTGTTTCTGGTGCAACTTTTTTTCTTTTTTTTTTCTTCAAAGAGGAGGACATGCCACTTAGGAAATACACAATTATTCTTCTAGATTAACCCTTGCCAAGCTATTGTCAAAAAGTGACCTTTATATTTTTCACTTTGAAAAGAAATTTCTTTTCATCTGTCTGTCAGTCTGTCTTTCACAAATTGTTTGCAACATTTCATTTTGTGTAAAAAATTTATTTAAAAGGACAAAATAAAAACAAAATATTCAATTTCGAATAGGTTTTTTTCTTATATCTTTACATTTCTGGCTTTTTTCTCTCTTTTTCTTCACACCAGTTTTTTTCAATTGTATAATGATTATAAATAGATGAAGGATGCATCGTAAACAATTTTCAGGTTCCTCATGGAAAATAGGAACTTTGATTATGATAAAGGCACATTCAACTTTAAACATCCGAGTGCTATAGATAATTTTTTATGAGGGATGAGATACATATACAGAGAAACCTTTCTCATAAACAACTTTAAATTTCAGGCTGCCTTGCTATTCAGACTACTTCATCTCACCTCCCAGAACTGTTTCCTGTATGTCTGTGTAATGCTGGTTTTACTTTTAATACGTTCCGGTAATGGTACAATCTCTATGTACTTATTGTTATTTACTTGTTGTGATAAAACAGAAAAATGTTGTTTCTAGGAATTCTGAGTGGTCACTTTTGTTTATAGAACTGCTGTTCAGTCACCCAGGTGGACTTTACAACAGGGTTTCACTGTATCCCAATTATGATGAAGAGGAAATACCAAACATGATTATGGTTTAAAATGCTGTATACAGACTGACAGACAGACTTTCTAAGTTTGTCTTCTACGTCCCCCAAGACATCAACATCGTCATTTGAATGATGAAAGTTGGCAAATCAACAAAATCCATATAGCAGGCTCTCTGTGCAAAAAAACAGCACAAGTTGCACTTCCTGGATCCAAAAATGTCAGCATATCTATGGACAAATCAATATGTACAATCAGTGTCCGTGTCTCATCCATTGAGAAGGATTCCTCTTTGCACTGTTTCTAAGGAGGTATTCAACCCAGCACTATTTTTTCATTATGTGGCGAGTCTTCCTCCAGCACTAGTTAATGTCCATCAGTATTTAGTTAATAATCTTCAACACTTTCCCTATTCCAATGGTCTTTCCTGGGAAAACACAAAAGAAACACATTTTAATTGTATTACGAATACAAGTTTGTTTTGGTGTTAATATCCTCTGGGTAGATTCATACAAGGATGGTAGACACAAGATACACACATAGCATGATGGATACAAATACAGGGAACTGTAAATATATTTCCATTATCAAGATTTTATAAACCAACAGAGTTTTCCACGCTGCATCAATAAAACATTATTTCTTTGCTTTTATTGACTCAATTATTAATACAACTACAAGTACAGATTGGCGAAACAATATACACCAGCCCAATGCCCAAGAAATATTCAGGATTTATCAAAAAGATTACAAATGTTAACTACTAATAATGAGTCAAGATGTCAAATGAGAAAGCAGTGTTATCTGTAAATAGGGCACACACAGCTTTAACTCTTTCCGTACCATTTTTGTATATATACAACAAAAAAATGAGTTCCCTGATCCCCATTGTTGTACATATACAACAAAAATATGTGACGTCTTATCTCCATTAAGGTATACACACAAGAGACAGTGTGATGGCCTTTTTCTGATCAGTTGGTAAACAGCAGATGATAGACATATTACCAAATTAATTATCACTTAAATTGGGCTTCCTTAGTTTAGAAGAATTTGGTTGGTGAAAAGTATGCAATTTTTTATGTGATCTATTTTCTTCCAATCTTCCGCAAGTAGTTGCTAATTGGGTATCACTAATGTAAACAACATGGTGGCAAGAAAGTTTGCTGTGGCTGCTGAGGCTGTAACAGATAAAGAAAGTTGGACTGAACTCCTAGATTACAGTAATGATATTAGTGGATCCAACCTGGAAATTGTCTGAGGACTCTGAAAGTGTTGATGACATTCCACTTGCCCACATTAACCCAGTAGCGGGCTTCATAGACTGAGGTGGAGATGCTGGACACACCCACATTTTTTGTTCAGTCAGTATCTACCAACGACAAGGACCCAGGCTGTTCATGGGACAATAAACCCAGCACATGTTTCACTGATGTCTACTCACTGACTCCTCAATCTAATACAAACTCTCTCTGAATAAATGGCCCAGCTATTATGTTTGCTTTCTTCAAACACATATTTATAAAGTTTACATAAAAAAAATCGTGATAACTACTTTTCAATATCACAGTGTATCTTTTCCGTCAAAAGTATCTTTCTCTTTCACCACAAATGGCATATATCTTGTATAAGAGCCAGAGAAAATTTGTGAACCAGATCTGTCGAAATGTTCAACATGTAGCTTTGCAGGAAAGCCAGAAGAAATGATAGTTATGGGAATGGATGTTATGACAAAGAAACTTATTTAAGAATGTTTTCAGTAACTCAATGGTTCTTTGAGAACTACTAAATGTACTGACATTTTAATATCAAGCCAAAACGAAAAAAACATATATGAAATTGACAATAAATTGCAAAATTTAATGGGATGTAATTCTACAATATCTTTACATTTTTGAAGCCAATATACACTTTTTTTTTGGCATTGTTAAAAAAAATTATTCAGAAAAAAAATTATTGTATTGGTTTTTATCTATAAAAAATAAAAAGCTCTATTTTTCCCTGGGATTTTGAACATGTAATAGCATCACAAGTGAGATATAGAACAGGCTCCTGTATCTGAAAACAACTCAATCAAAAATCAAGGACTGGAATTTTTGCTCGAGTTGTTTACAGGTGCCTGTGGATCATGCCACATATATTGTGAATGATATTATCAGCTGATTATCATAGTTTTTAATTAATACAAATGACTGTTGAATGTGTGCTGAAACAGTCATTAAAACGACAAATGTCAGCTTCGTAAACACATCTATATTTGAACAATGTAAACAGCTGATTCCATCTAAATATTTTAAATCTGTCAAATTGCAAATTTGCAGCCAAAATATTAATAAAGTTGTGAAACACAAGTTATTACATATGCTTGCAATGATCAGAAATAAAACTGGGTTTATGTCCAACAAAGCTCGTACTTCCATAATCAAAAGAAACCCTGTTTCGGGCCTGGCTTGAAAATTGTGTTTGGCAGAAGTTTGCATGATAACAGGTTTTGACAAAAACTTTTTGATTTCTCTACTTTTAATAATCCTAATTCAGTGATAATGCTCCAAAAAAGAAGAAATACATGACTGTAACAACAGTACAAGAAATAACAAGGTAAGCTTGTGATTATCGGTATTTTCTAGAAGAATTACATCTCCTCTGAAACCCACATAAAAAATGCCATTTTTGCAAGCATGTGCAAGGGTTAGCCTAATTATGACTGTCTGTACAGAAACCAGAACTGGGATAGGGGTACAGAAAGAGTTAAAGAAATGGGAAGAGAACTGAAAGAAATCTCCAAGACAGGATTAAAATGCTGAAAAAAATAAAAGGCAATAACATTTTCATATATTGTTGGAACAATATGCTATTCACAAGAACAAAAGTTATGTTGTGGTACCAGGTACTCAAGCTGATCAATATCCAAAGAAATTGGTATTAAACTGAGGGAGCAGAAAAAAAAAAAATGAAAAAACGAAGGGCAGTAACTCTTCCCAAAACTGTATAATCACAATGCCATTAAGGAAAACAAAGGGCAAGCCCCATGATTGTCCTCTTACCTTCGTCGCGTAATGTAAAACGACCCATTTGTGGGAAATCCTTGAATGTCTCCAGGCAGATCATTCCACCGTTCACCTCAATACGAGCTATGGCTACTTGGTCCTGTTTTACAAAGCGAGGTTTCACTTGGGTTTTGTCACCAGTTTTTTTGTCAATTATACACAGAAGTGCGCGCAGTGTCACCTCCTCCGCACACGTATGAATATGCAGCACTGCACTGTATCCAGCACAGATGATTGATTTATGTTCAAGTATCACAATCTGTAACAGATTCAAAACAGATTAAACAACAATGAATTCATGACACTAACATATAATTCTCTTCATTGGTGCTACAATATCATATCATAATGTTGGAAATTATTTTTAATACTTTTGTACAAGTATGATTGAAATATGTTTTAATTTAAGGAAATTTAGAAACTGATACAATTTTATGAAGACTAGTGATGATAAGAGAGTGAAATTATGAAGTGAAGACAGACAACAGACATCTCTGACCTTTATTGGGATTACCTTAATATATTGGAGTATTCTGATAATTGGTGAAAATAAATAATGATATTCTACCAATGTAAAATTAAAATACTACCTGTTAAAAAGTAGGATTTGATATCCGTTGAGTTTGAAACAGTAACAGAGAAAGAGACATTAGTACCATGGTGGTTATATAAATCAGGAACATCCCTTTCCTTCTCAGACTCAGCAGTAACAACAATAACACTTACCTGAGCATCAAACACTTTCCCTGTGTTACATGGAGACTCCATCGGACAGAGCACAAAGCCTGGTGATATGTCCTAAAATAATAAGCAAAATCATTTCAATATCGTAGCAGATTCTAACACAGATAGCTAAATTCATGCACTTTATATTAGCCTGTGTACAGCGCAGTGCAATAAATACAATGTATGAAAACACCTGAAATGCATCTTCCATCAAATTTTAATAGTTCTTATTTTTAACAAACATTGTTATTCATGTTGCAATCAGATATTGTCATTATTATTCAATGATGAATCAAAGACATTTCCCCAATATTTACCAGAATCTTAAAAAGGATATGGCTGGCATTGGTTAGAACAAAACATACAATTGTAAGCTTGTAATGACCAATTCTAATTACTGATGGTGAACAAATGTCATTTACAGTAAAGAGAGGAGTCTACATGGTAACTTATCTCAGCCTTCACATGTCGTTACCACAGTGAACCCAAGCAACAAAAATAACTGAAACTTAAGGATGTAATAGGCTCTCTATCAATACCCGACGTTTGTCAACCTTTTAACTTTCTTACCTTCAACTAAACCTGTCTTATACCAAGGAGATACTGGGAAGTGACATGTAACAAATAAGGGAAACATATTCCTCCCCAGCACCACAACAGTAACCTATGTCAAAAGTATAATAATCCACAGCTGTTTCAACTGTTACAAAGAAGCACGCTACACCAGCCAAGCACCACAACAGTAACCTATGTCAAAAGTATAATAATCCACAGCTGTTTCAACTGATACAATGAAGCATGCCGCATCAGCCAAGCACAACAACAGCGACTGAACCTGGGTCTTTAGTGTAATAATCCACAGCTCTATCAACTGATACAATGAAGCATGCCGCATCAGCCAAGCACCACAACAGCGACTGAACCTGGATCTTAAGTGTAATAATCCACAGCTCTATCATCTGATACAATGAAGCATGCCGCATCAGCCAAGCACCACGACAGCGACTGAACCTGGATCTAAAGTGTAATAACCCACAGCTCGATCAACTGATACAAAGAAGCATACTACATCAGCCAAGCACTACAACAGCGACTGAACCTGGGTCTTAAGTGTAATAATCCACAGCTCTATCAACTGGTACAAAGAAGCATACTACATCAGCCAAGCACCACAACATTAACTGAACCTGGGTCTTAAGTGTAATAATCCACAGCTCTATCATCTGATACAATGAAGCATGCCGCATCAGCCAAGCACAACAACAGCGACTGAACCTGGGTCTTAAGTGTAATAATCCACAGCTCTATCAACTGGTACAAAGAAGCATACTACATCAGCCAAGAACCACAACAGCGACTGAACCTGGGTCTTAAGTGTAATAATCCACAGCTCTATCATCTGATACAATGAAGCATGCTCTGTCAGCTGAGTATTTAACACTTTATACACTACTTCCTTTCCTCTACTTTTCTTTCTCCACTAGAGACTCGTAATATTACAACCCGTGTGCCCATGCAAGAGAAAAAGCATTTCCACAGCGATCCTTGTCAGGAATATTTAACTAGAGTACCAGTCACAATCCAATTCTTAAGTACAAACATACTCACTTGGTCATGGAAATTTTATATAACTTCTCATTCTCCTATTTCTCTCATAATTTCTTCCAATACATATGCAGAAAATTGTTATCCAAAATGTTTACATTTCCCAAACTTTGTAAGGGTTTCTATATCTATAAACATTTCACGATGTGCTGAAGTCATCACTTTTGCCTGCTGTTTGGCATGCTTGCTGCCCTCGACTTATTCAATGATGCCCGCTACTGAACACCATAACACCTACCTCTTCTTCCACCCCTTGGACTTTGACTTTGAGATTTTCGCCTGGGTTAGCCAACTCTGTTTCTATTTCATCAGAGTACAGTTGATTAACTTTTACTATAGCCTGCAAAAGATTAATAAGATTGTAGTCAAATTCAATCAAGTTCATTAGACCAAAAAACCGATGCTCTGCAAATTCTGACCTGTTCAAGTCATCACCCTGTACAGTATGTTACCATTGCCTGTAGTCTCTTATCTACTATATAAGTATTTATCTTACCCTGGATCAGTCTACAATATGAATCTGTGTGAATATATCCCCCTGATCAGTCTACAATATGAATCTGTGTGAATATATCCCCCTGATCAGTCTACAATATGAATCTCTGTGAATATATCCCCCTGATCAGTCTACAATATGAATCTCTGTGAATTTATCCCCTGATTAATCTACAATATGAATCTCTGTGAATATATCCCCCTGATTAGTCTACAATATGAATCTCTGTGAATTTATCCCCCTGGATCAGTCTACAATATGAATCTGAATTTCTCCCCCTGATCAGTCTACGATATGAATCTGTGTGAATATATCCCCCTGATCAGTCTACAATATGAATCTCAGAAATTATCCCCCTGATCAATCTACAATATGAATCTGTGTGAATTTATCCCCTTGATTAATCTACAATATGAATCTGAATTTCTCTCCCTGATCAGTCTACGATATGAATCTGTGTGAATATATCCCTCTGATCAGTCTACAATATGAATCTCTGAATTTATCCCCCTGATCAGTCTACAATATGAATCTCTGAATTTATCCCCCTGATCAGTCTACAATATGAATCTGTGTGAATTTATCCTGATCAGTCTACAATATGAATCTGTGTGAATTTATCCCCTTGATTAGTCTACAATATGAATTTCCGTGAATTTATCCCCCTGATTAGTCTGCAATATGAATCTGTGTGAATTTATCCCCCTGATTAGTCTACAATATGAATCTGTGTGAATTTATCCCACTGATTAATCTACAATATGAATCTGTGTGAATTTATCCCCTTGATTAGTCTACAATATGAATTTCCGTGAATTTATCCCCCTGATTAGTCTACAATATGAATCTGTGAATTTATCCCCCTGATCAGTCTACAATATGAATCTCTGTGAATATATCCCCCTGATTAGTCTACAATATGATCTCTGATGACAATATGAATCTGTGAATTTATCCCCCTGATCAGTCTGCAATATGAATCTGTGTGAATTTATCCCCTTGATTAATCTACAATATGAATTTGTGTGAATTTATCCCCCTGATCAGTCTACAATATGAATCTCTGTGAATTTATCTCCTTGATTAATCTACAATATGAATTTGTGTGAATTTATCCCCCCTGATCAGTCTACAATATGAATCTGTGTGAATTTATCCCTCTGAATCTGTGTGAATTTATCGCCCTGATTAGTCTACAATATGAATCTGAATTTCTCCCCCTGATCAGTCTACGATATGAATCTGTGTGAATATATCCCTCTGATCAGTCTACAATATGAATCTCTGAATTTATCCCCCTGATTAGTCCCCCTATCAGTCTATATGAATCTGTGTGAATATCTATGAATCTGTGTGAATTTATCCCACTGATTAATCTACAATATGAATCTCTGTGAATATATCCCCCTGATTAGTCTACAATATGAATCTCTGTGAATTTATCCCCTGATCAATCTACAATATGAATCTCTGTGAATATATCCCCCTGATCAGTCTACAATATGAATTTGTGTGAATTTATCCCCCCGATCAGTCTACAATATCTCTGTATATGAATCTCTGTGAATATATCCCCCTGATCAGTCTATAATATGAATTTGTGTGAATTTATCCCCCCGATCAGTCTATAATATGAATTTGTGTGAATTTATCCCCCTGATTAGTCTACAATATGAATTTGTGTGAATTTATCCCCCTGATCAGTCTACGATATAAATCTCTTTGTACTTACTCTGTTTGGCATCACCATTAAAGACATGTTCTTGTTTATAACACCAGCCTCCAATTTCCCGAGTAAAAGTGTTCCCATATCCTTTAAAATCAAGTTATAAAATTTCAGGTAACAAAAGTACAATCTTAAGTAATTCATTTATAACATGGTTTCAATCATATAATGAAATAAATTTGAAAAGTTAACATTTCAATTCTGACTCGGACAACAGGCTGAGAAAGACATGGCACGTGAAGCTGGTAATTCACTAAACATGGGCAAGTTTTTTTTTCAGATATTCCAACATAAATACAAATTTATTACAATTAAATTGAAGGCTATCCCAGCAATATAAACCTGGAGTTGTGTAATGGGATAGATGTTTCACTAGAATAGACCTAACGAAGTACAACAAGAACTGTCATCCTGAGTATAACTAATACCCCCAAAGATTTACAGACCTCAGTAATTTGATCAAAAGTTGATGAAACAAAGTCAAAGACAGTTGAAAATTGGCATTCCCTAATACCTTTATTTACAAAATTAGGTAAAAAACAGACAATATCTAAATTGCAATTGATACGAGGTCACTATTTGCCTCAGCAGTTGTCATGACAATAAAACAAATGTAGTGATTTTTGGCATCCCCTTATACCTAAATATGGTCAAAATTGGGCAAATGTCTAAATTTTAACCAATCAAAGGCTATCATTTATCTTAGCCTGGTTGTCATAGTAATATAACACATACACTAATATATATACTTATATCCTTTGAATAACAAATTTGGTTTAAATCGGATAATTTGGTCTAAATCAGATAATTTTGGTAAAAATTGAATGACCAAACAGAGGCCAGGAATGTTTTGCCAGTGTCCATTTCTGAAACAATAATGTACCTGACTACAGCTTTTAATTTATGGACAGACGAATGACCTTCATTGTGAGGGACGTAATAATTGATATTTACTGCTACAAATATATGTTCATGTATGAACTGACACAGCTGACTAAGTGTACATGGACCTTTCCCACTTACCCTGTATTTATCCACAATAGGCATCCTAACAGGCATTTCTGTCGATCTGTTTAGAGAGTTCAGGTCATCTAGATAATCAATAAGTGATGGTCCTCTGAAAATGAAGTCGTCAGTGAAATCAATTATTGTTTTTTCTACATATGAATTTAAAATACTTGAGCCAGAATTATACATTACAAATTGTGGTCGAAAATGTTATGTTTTCAGCCTAATACAATCTTATAACATCATCAACACTTCATCCTGGAAACACTTTCAAATACATTTTACAAATGTCTCATTTGCAACATGGTTGAATTATTGAAGTTACTTAAGTTTACATGGACTTTTCATTTGTCAACCACAACAGCCTACCTGTACCATGGACAGACACTCTCATCAGGTACAAACTTCAGAAAGGCTCCTGTTAGCCCTGAGACTGGCATGAAATACAAATCTGTTTTAGGATTGAAGCCACACTTTTTCAGGTAGGGGATCAGTTTTTCCCTGCATTCGTTATATCTGTCAAGGAAAAAGAGGAATACACATTATATTTTAAATCAGCTGTATATTCTAAATTGAACTAATCTAAAGACTTGCTGTCACAGTCTTCAGTTTAAAGGAAAGAAGGTGGGGGGGAGCATTAATTCAAGTGATGTTATAAAGTTTCTGAACACATCAACAGTCATCAACACCTGTTATTGATACTGTGGTTTTGTACTATAATCCAGAATAACCGATTTCTATGTCTATATGGCAAAAAACCATGTCTTGTTATAAGCCCATCAATTCATCTGAGAAGAATTACTAATATATATACTATTTCTCTACTCTATCCACCTTTCAAATTACGAAATATTGTAATAGACGTAATATCTTGTAACTATGTTCTTCTGACTTGGAGATGTGAGTTAGTAATTGTTATTTGTAGACTTATACCTCTTGTATAAAGGGTATAAAAGGGATTGTTAGGTAATGGCTTTTATATATCAGAATTTATGGATCATTGGCGATCATGTAACAAACATCATAAGATTCATCATAAAAGTGTTCATAATGGAGGGAATTTACTGATTCACAAAGACAGGTGTGGACTTTTAAGAACCTCAGTTTACTATGCCTAGTATTAAGTCATATGACAAATGCAATATGCTGTCACCTTTGTCACTGTCTGAACCTGACAGCGGAGTTGAAGAGAGATAATCATAAGAATAGAAATGTATGTTGTTCTGTTCACAGAAGCCATCTTTGTTGATGAAGGGGAACTATGTATCAGAATAAGTAATTAGAGGTATAGTGATAAACTGTTCGAATTCTTTATGGAAGAGTGATTTAGAAAAATGTTGTACCAAATGGAATGCTTTATTATTTATGTTAAGAGTCCAAGTTGAATCAGTGCACTTCCAGTAACTCAAAGTTTATAAAATCTTTCTTAGGTTCTTATTTCTGATGAACAAGTGATAATTTAGTATTATTTTATGTGCAAATTGCTTATAAGCCAAATGGACAAAGGACCAGTAACAGTACTGGAGCCAATTGGTCAGATTTGAACATGTGACTTTGGAAAAGCTTCTAAGGCCATAAAATTTAACCTTACTAGTCAGATGTGCTCAGCCAGCGACTGTACTTACTTATCTGGCTTAGGATTCTATTTAATCTATTCTTACAAGTTAACGTCACCATTTAGCATAAATTAAAGTTGCATCATAAATGCCACAAAAGATTTTGCAAGCTTATCTCCTGCTCTGCTAGCAACTTTTACACAGAGTGATAGAGAGGAAAGCCACATGTTGTATAATTTAGAAGACTGCTCTTTAATAAATATATGGACTTTGAGTATTTCTTGAAGTTATTATTGACAAGTTATCACAAACTGATGGATGGTGCTTGGTATTCTTGCTACAGTATATAGCGTTATGGGGCTTATGGACCTCCCCAGTTAGATTTTGACATTTCTTTTGACTCAAAATAGCTTTTCTCAGTTGCAGCCTAGGTTTCTGTACTTCAGACCCCTAGCATCATTGACAAGTCCTACAAGGTCGAAAAAGCTGTCTGATGCTGTTTAATAATTCAGCTTTAAGGTACCTAAATCTCCAATTGTTTCCAAAAGTTCTATTGTCTTGCCTCTTTTTTTTACAATGCCTTCAGTCTTATTAATTTTTATTATACTCTTTCTGACTTTGCTTTCTTTTCAAATCCTCAACGGATTTCTTTTCTAATGTATATGTCTGTCCTGGAAAATGTTTTTCCTTTTCAAATATTGTTCCAGAAAATGTGTTTATCTTTTCCAATATTGTTCCTTGAAATACATTTTGCTTTTCCAATATATTTCCTGGAAATACGGTTTCCTTTTCCAATATATTTCCTGGAAATACGGTTTCCTTTTCCAATATTGTTCTTGAAATACATTTCATTTCTGATGTTGTTCCTGTTATTCCAAGTTGATCTTTTTTCATTACTGGACTATACCTCCTAACCTAATCTGTTAAAACCTTACCTCTCCTCTGACCATTGCACTGTGGGATCGTCCATCTTATTGATAACTATGACCAAGTGTTTAACGCCAGCAGTTTTAACCAACATAGCATGTTCTCTAGTCTGTCCACCTCTCTCAAAACCAGTCTCAAATTCACCTCGTCTCGCTGATATGACCTGCAAGTAAAAATTATCACAAATAGATCAATTATGACACCCAGAAACTTTTCAAAAACACTTAAAATATTTAAAGATGATTTGGAATATCTTTTTCTCAAATCAAACCCAAATTTCTCTTGAAGTCATTATTTCATAATACATTTCTTCAGGCAGCCTGCAGATATCAATTTTTTTAATCTTTTAAATTGTAAAGCCTGTGGGTAATACCCAAGAAATAATAGTTCAATTGCCTCTTACATCATTATTGCCTCAGAAATCGAAAGTAGAATCCAAGTCCCCATTTTATTGTCAGAGTAAACAAATTGGCATAAGCCAGTCAATTTCCATCGAGTATGTTGTTATTTTTATAAATGAAAATGCTTTTGTTGGCCAATTCCTATATATGACCATGCCTAACAGTGTGTTTCATGTCTTCTCCAGATGCCACCAAGGAAAGAAGGCATATTTACCATCTCAAGACATCATTAAGGATATGGGGGCACTTTTTTGGGACTTCTCAAGATGTCATGAGAAAGAGTTATATGATCAGATGTACAGATCGTAACAACTTACCAAAACAGCCAGGTCAGCCTGTGATGCTCCTCCAATCATGTTGGGTACAAAACTTTTGTGACCTGGGGCATCTAATATTGTGAAATGTTTACTTGGGGTTTCGAAGTATGCTCTTCCAACTTCAACTGTCTTGCCTTTCTCTCGTTCTTCTGAATTTGTATCCAGTGCCCATGAAAGGTACCTAAATATAAGAAAAATTGATAAAAACAAAAAAATCTTTAACCCATAATAGGTACCTAAACAGACAATATATTATTGTTCAAATTGAAAACATTGATCCAAACAAAAATAGCAGACTTTTAAGGTATGTGAAACCCTTATAAAAAATTTAGTACTGACCATGTTTCTCGGTTTTTCTCTTTGGCTTCTCGTTCATATTTCTCCAGTGTTCTTTTATCAACCATTCCAGTTAAATACCTGAAAAAATCATTCACAATTTCATGCAATCAAAAGTCAGAATCAAATTACTAAAATTACTGGAAGTCTGAACATGTTGATGGTATATAAATGTTACTTTAAATGCGAGATATAATCCATCACATACAAAAACAATGAAACACATAAATAGAAGATGACTATCAACAGCTAAATTAAAAATTTTGAGTACAGTTTCCATTTGATAAGTGAAATTTGTGCAAAATGTTTTTAAATTTAGTAAAAAAAAGGTGTATTGTGGACATGATATCCACAACGGTATTGATTATTTTGAACTATGTTTTCCAAAGTTTTTACGACTATTACTGTCACTGATTGCCGACTTTCAGATAGACCTCTAAGAATAGAGGTCAACGATCCCATAATTTTGTGTGTCTTACCATACTGTCCCGCCTTGATGAGTCCTCTATCAGTTTCTATTGCGAAACTGACGCAAACCTTAATCTGTATATGTTCATGAACACCTAGTCTCTCAATATTGGCAATTATTTTAATTATGATTGATTGTCTCATTGTGACACTGTTTTGAAAAGATAGCCACTTTGTTTATAGCATACCACTGCTGCCAGGGGTCACTGATAAATCGTTGGAATATTTCTACCAATCACAAAGCTAGGATTAGTAATAACAGCTAGTTCCAAAGGATGTGACAATAGGCTGAAACCATAACTGCATTTCGTTTAGCCTGAAAACTGTTTCAAAATTTGGCTCATGTCATGTCACATGTACGGTCATTTAATTCTTCATTAATCCATTAACTTAACAAAGAATGAATTAAGTTTCTTACATAATATGGCCACCAATCGTTGATTTCCCAGCATCTGAAACAATGAATCAAGTTTAACATACAGGTGTCTTATGCATAATCCCTCTCTCTAGAATCAAACATTACACCACATAAACAAAACAACAAAACCAAAAAAGTTCTTAATTGCAATGATCACTATCCCTCCTGTTGGCCCAGACTTCTAAGTAGTGGGATTCTGAAGATAGCACTTTACAAATGAATCTAGTATTATTCCTCTAACAATTTTCATAATCAATATTTCTGGCTCAAAGTACAGTTTTTTCTCTACTTACCAACATGTCCAATGAAAACCACATTGATGTGCTCCTTCTTCACCTCAACTTCTTGTGGTCCGGAGTTTCCTTTTTTGGTATCGGCTATGGGTTTAACCACCACTTCTTCCGAGTCCTCCTCATCTTCTGCTGCCCAATCGTCACCTACTCAATCATATCAATGTTATAGGTATGATTTATACTGCCATGTCATTATCTACTCAATTGTACCAATGTGATGTTATAGGTATCAATGTGATGTTATAGATATCAATGTGGTGTTATAGATATCAATGTGGTGTTATAGATATCAATGTGATGTTATAGATATCAATGTGGTGTTATAGATATCAATGTGGTGTTATAGGTATCAATGTGATGTTATAGATATCAATGTGATGTTATAGATATCAATGTTATAGATATCAATGTGATGTATCAATGTGATGTTAAAGATATCAATGTGATGTTATAGATATCAATGTGATGTTATAGATATCAATGTTATAGATATCAATGTGATGTTATAGATATCAATGTGATGTTATAGATATCAATGTGGTGTTATAGATATCAATGTGATGTTATAGATATCAATGTGGTGTTATAGATATCAATGTGGTGTTATAGATATCAATGTGATGTTATAGATATCAATGTGATGTTATAGATATCAATGTGATGTTATAGATATCAATGTGATGTTATTGATATCAATGTGGTGTTATAGATATCAATGTGATGTTATAGATATCAATGTTATGTTATAGATATCAATGTGATGTTATAGATATCAATGTGATGTTATAGATATCAATGTGATGTTATAGATATCAATGTGGTGTTATAGATATCAATGTGATGTTATAGATATCAATGTGATGTTATTGATATCAATGTGGTGTTATAGATATCAATGTGATGTTATAGATATCAATGTTATAGATATCAATGTGATGTATCAATGTGATGTTATAGATATCAATGTGATGTTATAGATATCAATGTGGTGTTATAGGTATCAATTTGATGTTATAGATATCAATGTTATAGATATCAATGTGATGTATCAATGTGATGTTATAGATATCAATGTGGTGTTATAGGTATCAATGTGATGTTATAGATATCAATGTGGTGTTATAGGTATCAATGTGATGTTATAGATATCAATGTGATGTTATAGATATCAATGTGATGTTATAGGTATCAATGTGATGTTATAGATATCAATGTGATGTATCAATGTGATGTTATAGATATCAATGTGGTGTTATAGATATCAATGTGGTGTTATAGATATCAATGTGATGTTATAGATATCAATGTGATGTTATAGATATCAATGTGGTGTTATAGATATCAATGTGGTGTTATAGATATCAATGTGGTGTTATAGATATCAATGTGATGTTATATGTATCAAAGTGATTTTATAAGAAAAAGTTGTACAACACTATTTACAAAATATTTCACTTTTTTTCACAAACAGAAAATCTCTATAAAGCCAGTTCCATAATAAAATGTGTGTGGCAGGGGATTGAGACTGATTGGCTAAATTATTATCTCACATTACTGTGCCAACTATGACAACATACTTCCTTTCCTTGCAAACTTCCAGCATATTTATAGCAACTAGTAGATTATTAATCTATAAAATCTATAAAACATTAACATAATCAAATAATTTGCCATTTCAAATTTGCCTGACAATTTTGTGGGTGGCTGTGATGATGACATGGTAAATTCAATCCTGTAGGGGTTGGCTTTAAGTAACAAATTTAATTAGGGGAGTGATTAAGGTTTGGCAAAAACTCTATTGTATATTTTCATGGGTATTGGAATTAATTTTATTGCGTGGGTGGTTGGGGTTAAAAACACACAAACATGTGGTAGTCCCCGAACAGTACCAATTGCAGAAAAAAAGGAAATACTTTCTTAGGAAATGGAAAGGTATTATGGATTTTCTATTCAGTTTTGGAAAAACATCATTTTTAGATACAGAAAACGATTGGGGGGTTAAAATCACAGATTTAAGAGGGCATTTTTCCCATTGATATTTTAAAATTGTCCATTATGATAAATTTCCAGCAACACCAATAATTTCATTTGGGTTGAGCTTTATTTACCTGCTGGTTCCTGCTCTGTTTCCATGTTCTCATCACCTACAGCATTACCAGACTCATCAGTAGGTGTGCCTTCATTTGGAGTTGCATCTGACCAAAGAAAAGATCAAACAGAAATGCAATGATACTGATGTAACACTGGGAAAACTTTTGGACTTTTCTGATGAGATTAAGATTTTTCACTCTGCACAGGTTGTCAAAATATAAATATTAGTCATTTAGAAGTTGATTCATCATATATACCTTTTACTATACAAATTTTACATGCCCACAACACACTATCATAACAAACCAGTTAAAAATTCTACTTCAGTTCTGACTTAAGGTGTAGTTCTTACTAAGCCTCCAACTCAAAATACACCATCAGACAAAATTACAATAAAGGGCTAAATGCTAAAAATTATTCTTAGAATACATTTGTATTCATTCCTGTTCTGTCAAAGCCTAAACATAACTAGTTAATTCCTCCAAGCTAGTTTATTTTTTAAATCTCTTAAAAACCACACACACACATACTCGCTCACTCACACCTCACATATCTATCCTTCACTCTTTCAAAACCATCTAAAAGAAACATACAAGTTCAATTTTTATCATGCACTCCATAATCTGTGTACAACATGGTGCCATGGCAGATCAGAAAGGACACAAAGAAATGGGTCATTTTCATATGCATGCCCCATACAAATTGAAAGGTCTCTTCCCTCTTCACAATACCAATTTACTCGCCCAAAAAAAGCCTTTCCCATTTCAATCTGTTTATTTTGTTTACCACGCCTCAAATCAGAGGAGTATAATCTCACTGGTATAATCCTTCAAGCACTTGTTCAGAAGTTCAGTCAAAAAATTGTAAATATTTCATAATCAATGGTGTCACTACATCAAAGTTATAACTTTGCAGAAATTTTATTTTAAAAAAAGCAGCAAAAGTTACTGAAAGTGCTAAAGGCTCAGAAAGTGCATTTATTTCTATTTGGTTTATTTTTCCAATATCATACATCATAACTTTGGGAAAGTATCTTGGGTACCATCAGATCTTGTAAGTCACATGATCAAGTTCATACCCTTATTTTCCAAGCAATTGACAAGTTCTTTCCATAACTGTCACTTGAATTCCAACCAAAGTTTAGCTGGCCGATTTACCTCCCCTTTATAGGCATTTAATGCCATGTCTTATGTGGAGATCTTTTTATCTGTGTGCTGCATACATTTGAAAATGATGCATTCTTTCCATGATTATAGCTTAAATGTTCAAACTGGCACAGGTTGCTTATTTCTCTCATTTTTTAAAAGGGCTATAGCTCTGACATTCAGCAAATCAATAATAACAATTCAGACTAATCAGGGATGTATATAACCGAGGGAAAAGAAACTTCCTTTATCATTTTATAATGCTATAGTAAAGACATTCAAGTTAATTAGCCTTACTGTGCTTATAAACCATTTTTCTCCAAAAGTTTCAGCAAATCTTTTTTTCAAAAAAAGAGAGTAAAAAGCTTAAATTTCAAATTGGTTGTGACAAACAATTTCTAGCAACGCTTGATATCTATAACTTAAAAAAAAATGCATGTTTAAGCTATTTACAACTGAAATACTACCTTATACCAAAATTATGAATTATCATCCCTATATAAACAGCATTAAAAGTCAGAGTACTTTCCCTATTTTTAGTATTACTTTTGTTATGAAAATGTGATGTGTTTCTCATCGGTTGACAAAATGACTAAGGTCAGACTCGTCAATACAAAGTTCTAGTAACATCAGTATGGGGCATAAGTAAATAAGATTAGATAACAAATGAGATGGGGAAGGGGTTTCGGTGACTTTACTGCTCAGTGAACAAACATAAAATCCAAAGAAGTCTCAAATGGGATTGATTTCTCTTATTCATCTTAGTCCCTGGACTAATCCATAATTCAACATAAAAAATATATTTTCCTTACAGTTTGATCATTAAATAGTTAATCACTTATCTAGTTCGAATCAGAATGAGTGATGGTTATAAATTTAGTAGTCATTCCCATCTGGAGTTAGTTGCCATCATCCCAGAACAGGTGTGTTTCCTTGTTAGATATATAAACTTCAAACTCAAAGGCCTCTCTCGTTCTTATAAACCCAAATAGAGACTCCGCGTAACGTTGTAATACTTATAGACTTTAGTGATGTAATAAGTGGCAAATGTACATTGATATACAGTTTAAGTGCGTTTAGGCAAAGCATCTGTTGTACAACAAACCATATGTCTTGACAGAACCCATCCAACACTCAACCATTTTATCACCAATTGTAAACACGTTCACAGATTCAATCCAATTCAAACAAAAATGTAATTGATAATCCGTTGATAACCGCATTAACTCATAAAGAAATGGTATTTTCAATCGCCAGTACCGTCTGTTTTTGATGCGACGGGGACGAACTCCGTAGCAAACACATTTTGGCCTGGGACGAAAGGAGCCGCATTGACGTTCAGAAATGACAGGGGTTGAGCTAATTCTTTTCCAGGATCGGTTTCATTTTGACTATCAATTTCCTGATCCCAGGAGTCAGGAGCCCCATTATCTCCATTTTCTGTAGCCATTTGTATCCCTGTGTTGATATTTTCACAATAAACTGGGATGTCAAAAGGGATTGCAACACTTCCCACCGCGTGGAGATTCGATCTGACGTCACTTCTGCTTTTACATGCGCACTTCCTGAAGTTCTTTTATTTTCCTTCTTGGAATTACAAATATGATAACAAAACTTCTAGCTAAACGTCGTCTCATAAATTTAAATAAATAGCAGAAGGAAATAAATATTACTAATGGACCAAAGAAAACATATAAACTCGAAAGGTGATAAAAAGCTACGAAACTACTATATGGCATTTAATTGTTTAGCTTATGTAAATTGGCGGGAAAATATGAAGCCATTTAAATGTTTGGCTATTCACTATTCAACTTCTTTTTTTACGATATATTCCGCAACGTAACGATAATTATTTCTAATAGGAAGCAACCTACATACACGACCGAATTGGAAATAATAAGATACAACATCGTTACACCCAATCCAAGTCATAACTAAGTCACTGTCCATTCAACCGTTTTAGTTCTGATACTAAAAATTATCAAATGTTTTATCTAATTTTCACTTAAGCTGAAGTTTTCTAAGAAAGAGTATTTTATATCCAGTTACTATGTGATTTAAAGTAAAATTCTGTGTTCAAAATTGGTCACTTGACACGATGTATGCTATAATCAGGGACCTATATACGTCCCTGCTATAATGGAGGTGCAAATCATAGGTTATCTTGTAAAGAAAAAACACCTTATACAGATCTATAAATAAGATATGTCACACAATTAATAAGGTGCCATTTCATATACTTTTGTCAAGTACTGGATTTGCATTGTTTCAAATCATGAATAATGTCAACTTAGCTTATTATATAACACGCACTGTTGAATTTATTTACGATACAGAGATCATTTTTATATTAAAACCTCTGCTAGGATTCCGACTCTGACTTACTACTCTTACGCTCAACCGATCGATCAACCCAAAAGCTTTTCATTCGGAGGATAGTATTTTAACAGGTTATATTTATTTATATTTTAACAAAATGTTGTAAAATATTTGTTGTAAATTGTTTAATTCGCATTCACATTACTAAAACGATATCAGATCTTACTAATAGTTCTAGACCAGGATAGAGTCTGGTTAAAATACGGTTTAGTATGCGATATTTTGTTTCATGTATTTTCTATGATTGTCCTTAGATTACCTCCCCCTATTTACTTGCCGCTAGGGGCGTTGTCGTTGTATCGTCCTCAAACAGCGAAAATGGCTTCCCATGCCTTGTCACAAATGCTGGACGAGCTTATGGGTCGTGATCGAAATCTGGCTCCGACAGAAAAGAAAAGTGAACTACACTGGCAAGATTCGGAGGTAACAAATATGACTGTGAAAAATATCGATAGTTATCAAAAAAGTTGTCGGAAATACAGTACATTTAGCTCGTGAAAAGCGGGACCATGTGCGTTTTTCACCGCTAAAAATTCGTTTGCTTGCACAGGCCAGCAACGAGAACTTTAACCAGTCAATCCAAATGAAGGACATTTTTTCACATATACATTAACAGTCAAGGAATTTATGTCAGAAAGCACTTGTCATCGCTCTTTCGGAATTCATTTTGGGTAGATATATGGTTCTGTTTTGTTCAGATATTCGTGGTTTATCGTGGATTGCTTTTGAAAATAATCAATTTGAAAGCTATATTATGAATTATACCTTACGAAGCCATCTGACAATTGATGCTGAATCTGCTTTCCTAGACTCCATAGCCCGTCTGTTACGCAAAATATCACAATGTTAACAATCAGACCGCGGAAAACCACAAATGTGCGTATTATGCGCAAAGTGGACGATTATACGCCGATTGGGGTATGGGTTTGTCACTTAAAATAGCTGAAATCAATTAAACAGTAACATTTGCAACATATTAAAATTTGCAGTAAATTATGACCTGGTATATGACTTTTTACTGGCCACATAATGTATCTTTATATTGTAGACTTCAATGTTACAATCATCTCTCAATGAAGACCAGTTTTTAGAATTTAAAAAAAAGTCTTCTTTTTTTTTTAAATAAAGACAGATTTTTCACTGATTTTTTACCTTAGACAGCTTACGCATCAACTATATTTAACTGTTAGAGTGGTTGTTCAGATAAATTGATGGTGAATATGTGGACAACATGGTCAGGAGAGGAGTCCGTCTACTTGGCTCTAAATACTTGCTATTCAGACTGCATGGTTATTAGACCTATCCAGTCCCCAACATGGTGATATACTGAGGTTTCAGTGAAGGTGCCATTTTCAGATAATGAAAATTTCAGGGGAAGACACAATCAAAATTAATGATTTTTTAATATATTTTCCTTGGAACTGAGTTGACAATGAAATACCAGGAAATCCAAAAATAAGAAATTAGGTCTTTGATTTTGAAACTAAAAGCAGATGGATGGCCATTGGATTGCAAACTGTTAACATGACTTGAATCATTCTTTTTATCTTTTTTCAGGTTTGCAAGTTTTTCCTGGTGGATTTTTGTCCGCATGAATTGTTCGTGAACACAAGAGCAGATTTAGGTACTTGAATATTGAGTTATTGGTGAACATTTATATTTTATGAAAAATGGTTTTAATACCTGTTTTCTCCTTTTTTAATAAAGCATACAGTAATTACTATCTAGTGTTTGTGAGTTATAATTTGTAAGTTGGTCGAAGTGTTATTGGTTTCACCATTTGTCATTTATTGGAAACAGTAGAAAAGTTGAATGAAAAAAATATGAGATTTTACTGGACCTCTGATATTAATTGATATCAATATTTTCTTTAGGGCCTTGTGAGAAGATCCACGATGAAATCTTTAAAAAAGAGTAAGTATCATTGTTACTATTTTTATCTCAATATTCATTCTATTGAAGTAGTAATTATTTGTTGTATTGTTGAGATTGTTTAGTTCTCTTCTTCATAAAGTTGGTTATTTGGTTTGGACAATAAAAAAATCGGCATCATGTTCAATAGCTAACATTATTAAGCTGCATCAAAACTTATTCAGGGCTCTCGATTTGCCAGATTTGGGGCTGAATACCAATGCAAAATAGTATTTTGTTTTCCCAAATTAGACCCCAAGTTTTCCCAATTCTAAGGAAAACGCCGCTATTTTTTCCCAATTCTAAGGGCCCCGGGCCCCAGTCCCAAAATGGGGTGTGAGAGCCCTGTTATTTTCAGCTTACATATAGTAAATATGATTCATTGTGAGAAGTTGAATTAGCTTCTTAGTCATAAGATTGATCTGTAGCACCTACCTTTTGGCTTTTTGCCAAACAAACTGAACTTTTATCAGAGGACTGTTTTGACATTTAGTTGACTCCAATGTGATTTTTTTCAGATATAAAACTTCAAGCAGGGTGAAAACAATGGGCTATGAGGAGGAATTTGAGCGCTACTTGGAGGGACTGATAGCCGATGTTGAGAGGCGTATTCGTCGGGGTCATCAACGCTTAGCTCTTAACAATGCCCAGGGCAATGTAAGTTATATAATAGTGGAGAATTAACTCTTTAGATCAGAAGCATTCAATGATACACAGCATTGGGTTGTTTTTTTTTTTATCATGCAGTGTTATTTTTGTGACAAGTACTTCCAGAGGGAATCAACTTAACAGGTCATTTATTTAAAACATGCTTAGGTGAATTTGATGAATGGAGCAATGAGTCTGATAAAATGGAATGACAAATCTGATAAAATGGAGTGATGAATCTTATAAATGGAGCAATATCTTTTGTTTTGAATGTTAATGTATATATTCATCCTATATATCCTAAAACCAAAATAATAGAACATGGATGAAACATGAATATGTGCTGTCTGTGTTGTAGCTAAATGGACAAATGAACAGAGACAAAGAAGAAAAAATACAGATGTTGACAGAAAGAATAAATGACCTTGTACAACAGGTGAGCAATCATATATTACAAATAAACTGCAAATTGTTACGAATGTTTTATTTGTTGGAGATATTTTTTCATTTAAACAGCAGGGGCATGTATTTTTTCACTTAAACTGCAGGGTGCATGTAATATCACCTATTTCTGTCCCACCTTAGCACAAATCCTTGTCATATCTTGAGAACCTCTTAACTGATATAGTTCATATTTACTCCATAGTGTCAAAACACTATAACATATAAAGATGGTCATCGGTTAAGGTTAAAGGTCAAACTCTCATTTGACAAGTTGGTCCTGCATGCGAGCAAAGGCATTCATGTTTTACAGACATTGTGTAGCTTTAGAAACATATTGTCTACAAAATTGGTGAATGCAAAGCTTTCACATATTCAAGAATAAATACTGAGTTAGTGCTAATACTTGTAACTGGTTTTGTAAATTATTTCAAAATTAATGTTCATTCATTTATCACTATTTCCCAAACTTGTGATCATTTATGGTAACTGAAATGGATTGAAAAGGAATGATTCACATAGCAGCACACACATGTGCAAAACATCTATATAAATGAGGAGAGCAAAATCTTAATCTTATCTTAAGAATATTACCATTATAAAAAACCAGTGGTTACCATGACTACATGGTAACCTTTAGCGTAATCTTCTATGGAACATTGTTACCAGTTTGTGTATTTCCTTGTCTATAATCTTTTAACCATCTTGTCACACTCTTTTCAGCCTTATGTTACATGGCATTATAGTGCATCCAAAAAAGTTGGTTGATTCCTAACCATTTTGTACACTTAATTAATGAGCGATTGTATGCTGCACACTGGTCTGATGATGGTCATTAGTCATTGAAATATAATACTTTAATTTTTACTGGTTGTGTTATAAGAATTTCTATTCTATTGACATTACCAACCTGAAGAAAATATTTCGAAATTTCAAAGTGTTTGTTAAAATGATTGGTACTAAACACATTTATAAATTGAAGAATTTGAATGAACTACTTTAATGCTACTGATTTCAAGAATTTATGTGATATTGGTTGTAGGCAGAAGAACTGGGCTGTGAAGGGAAAGTAGAGGAGGCTCAGGGTGTGATGAAACTTTGTGACCAGCTCCGGGAGGAAAGGAAACAGAGCGAGTCGGTCAGTATAATAAAACTTATGTACAGTGAGGTTCTTAAAGTGTTCTTTCTTTTGCTGCATATATGGAGGAACTTACCAAGCACAGATTTAAGTTTTATACCAGACATAAAACCACACACGAAAAAGCAACAATGGTAAATACGCCAGCCAAGCTTAATCAAAGTAAACATTGAGTGATCATCAGATTTCCCTTATTTGGTCCATCAGTTTTGTCTTCATAGTGGTTCTATTGTTTAAACTTTAGCAAACTAAAATAAAAACCAGCTGTTCGACAATTTCATATTTCAGAATAAGCTTGCAACCCAATCCAATGAACCAGAAAAGACAATGGAGGTTTGCTCGGTGTGTGGTGCTTTGTTAGTGGTAGGTGATGTACAACAGAGGATTGATGAACACCTTATGGGCAAACAGCATGCTGGATACGCTCGCATTAGGGCCTACGTAGAAGGAAAGAAAATGGTATTCGTCTTATTTGTTTCTAGAAATTCTTTTCTGCACCCTCCCCACCCCAAGTTGCCTGTCAATTTCTATTATCTTCTTTTTCTGAATCATTCTCAATGTTTAGAGTTGCCTTTCTGTTCAACCTAACCAATCCTCATCTTCAGGAATATATACAATATTCAGTATGAAGATATGGTACACAGGTAGTGAATTGCAATTTTTTTTTCAAAATTTTATTTGCAATAAACAATCATTAGTTACTTTCTTATCTGACATTTTCCGACAATATTTAATTGTTCTTGTGTTCAAAGAGGTGATACTTTCTGTTGCATTGCTCAAATCTTGAACAATGAAATATTTAAGAATCTATACAATTTCATTGATCTTGGAGGGGGGGGGAAAAGTAACATGAGTTTTAGGAATATACTCTGCTTTGCTTTCATTCAGAAAAGAGTCACTGAGGAAGAAGAAAGAGAAGCTAGATTTCAAAAGGAGAGGGAAGAGCGTGAGAAAGAAAGGGAAAAGGAAAGAGAAGAACGTCGCAAACGTGAAAAAGAAAGGGAAGAAAAGGAAAAGGAACGAGAAAAAGAGAGGGAAAGGGAGAGAGAAGAGAGACGAAAGAAACGCTCTAGAAGCCGTGACAGAGACAGGTAAGTACTTTCAGAGAATAGCTTGTATGCAGCTTTGTATAGGTAGGTTTTCGAAGCACAAACTGTTATCATTTGTCTTCTTTTCAAGTATACATAATTTTAATTTACAAAGATTGTGAGACAAACTCCATGTACAACATACAAGATTATTTTTTTAACCTGTTTCAAAAGGGGATATATATGTGTTGGTACAACTTAGTTTGTGAATGTGAAGTATTTCTGAGAGAAGAACATATGTGTGTGTGAGTTAATTTAATAATATGCAGAATGTAACTGCATGTTTCAGGCACAGGCGTTCGCGAAGCAGAAGCAGGCACAGACGAAGATCAAGGAGTCGATCTAGGGACCATCACAGGTCCTCTCGCCACCGTCGCTCCAGATCAAGGTCACGCTCTAGACGGTCAAGGAGTCGAGACAGACGTTCACGGGACAAGGATTATCGTCGTCGGTCTCGCAGTAAGGAACGATCTCGGGATAAAGACCGCAGTTCCAGGGAACGGTCAAGGAGAAGCAGAGATAGAAAGGACAGAGACAAGGGTAAGTTTGGGAAAATATTGAAATATTTTATCAATCAGATGAGGAGGTATCTTTTACATTGTTTGGGGGTGAATCAAAATTAATTATCAATTTCTTAAACAAAGATATGGTCAATTATTGTTAAATATCACATTGAAATATAGGAATGCAAAAAATTGATGGATGATTTTGAAAATTTGTGGCAAGTTGTAGTAGAGGGTCATTTTAATACATCTGCTATAATTCATCATAAATCAATTCTCTTATTATCTTCAATGCACCATGGATCATAGAAATTCAGTATTGATTAGGCTTAGTGAGGTAAAAATGATGACTGATTTTGTTAATTAGATGAATCAAAATAAATCTGTTTGTTGTAATGGATTTCGCCAAGAAATTTATTTGACATTTATTCTTTGGAACAGGAAAGGCAAAATCACACTCCAGAGACAGAGATAGCCCTGACACACAGGAGAAATCCAAAGACGACCATAGCAAAGACGAGCAAAATAACAAAACAGAGGAATTCAAAGATTGATTTAGAGGTGACACAAAATTTGCTGTCAGTTTTCAACAAATCAGGTGAGTTTACTAGTGTCCAGTGGTGACGAGGTTAAAGTTGACCAGAACTGACCAATGGTTGAGATTGAAAATAGGTAATAACAGGCATGGCAGGTAAGTGCAGGAACTGATGCCAAAATGCCAACATGGCTGTTTTAGAGAATCAGAGGGGGAAAAGCAGACATGTTTGTCAGAAACAAGAGAAAAAAAGAATTGAAAAAAAAATATAAAATAAAATCAAGCTGTTTATTAAGCAATTAGAAAATGGTGTGATTGGTTTTTGCTTTTTATTGCAAAATGAAGCTGTGTTCAGTAATCTGCTTTACTCTCTGGTCCCAAGGAAAAAAGAAATTAATTAATTTTAGGAAAAAGGAAAAAAAAAGATCATTTCATTCTGCCTAGCAGAAAGTCGGTTTAAAAGATGATAGTCAATTTGGGTTGGATTAATTAGAATGTGTAGACCAGTATTTATCATTGGTGATAAAACTTTGAATGATTTGTATTCAATTTTCCACCTTTTATATCTGAAACCAATCCAAGGCTTGCGGTGACCAAGCTATTTGCTGACATCCTAACAGAGAGTAAAATCAATTCCGTCATGTACTTGTTGCTAAACCCAACACAAGGTGAGTGAGAAAAAAGTTAACATTTCCATGCATATTTTGTAAAATTTTATAATTTTTTTTTTTCAATTCAATGTTATTTCAAAGGCTACAGTAATAAGTCACAGAGAATTTTCTCTCTATAAAGTTTATATTTAATCATATTTTTTTTTTATCTTTTTCCCTTTTTTTCCCCCCTTTTTTTCAATTTAAAAAGTAGACTTTTACTGTTGTACATTGTCAGTATTTCTAAAATGAAAGTCATTTACCTTGATGATGTCCATCTCCATAGAGACAGGTAAGGTGTATAAAGTATTCGAGTCGCATCCCTTGATGATGCAGTTATATGACAGGTAACTCATTGTATTCTTTGCTCAAAACCAAAGAAGGTCGATGGATGATACCACAGGTAACTGCTGTGCATTGATTTGGGAAGAAAATAACCAATCAAATGAATATAATAAATACAGATGTGAAAGAATAGACTCGGTGGCTTTTGTGAATTTCATTTCTTTTAAGGAACATTAAAAATTTCTGAAAGTGCAATTTTCACCTTGATATCAGTGATATTATCACAAGGCAAACAGTTTTGTGTTGCTTTAAAATGGTTCCAATACTATGGACGTTAGATTCTTTTCAACAAAGTAGACCCATCAGAGTTCTTCATGGAAAAATACAAAAGAGAAAAGATCTCTGATCACAGAGGTCAAGGTTAGAAGTGGAATTCAAATTCTACTTTGGTTAGTGACAACAAATCTGTACTATCAAACAGAGATAAGAGCTACATAAATTTGATGTACAAAGATGATATCTATTCAGGATAAAGGTTAGTTCTACATTCAAATTTGAAGGCAATCTACTTGTTTGAACTGGGAACTAGAATCAGCCGTTGTTGCAAGAGAGTTTTACCAATGAAAAATTTTAATCTGCACTGGGGAGTGCAAGGCCCTATTAACCGTCTTTAAGGTATTGCTCAAAGAAGATGTTTGAAACCTTGGCTTTGTGATGTTCCAAAGCTCTACCCTCATGAAGAGGGTATTGATATATTTGTTCATTGATTATAAAACCTGCTGAATTCAAGATGTTTAATTGAATACCAGTACTGTTGTCCAATGTGGGCAAGTGACATACAGTTCTATGAGAATGACACTACAATTGCTTCATACAATGTTGGCTGGAAATCACTTGAAATTAGTGGTATAGTGCTGCTTTATTTCTGTTTTTACTGAGCAATCGACATTTACCAATATATTGGAGATGGAACTATTCCTAAATATCATTATCATAGAAGATTTAGTTCGTTCGGGAAACTGGAAATGGAATATTGAGGTTAGTGAAAGTTCTAGTAAGCCTACCAATGGTTTGAGCCGATCCTGTGTTGACTCAAGGTTAGTGGAAGCAATTTCATATGTTCCAAACAACTTGTGCGATGGGCAGCAGGCGACGCGTTTCCCAGATTCTACAGCTATGTCAAGTAAGAGTAGTGGTGAGAAAGTTGGGCCTGGCTGGAAATGGCCAAAACTGGCACCGTGCATGTACCATTTGACATCTTACAAAAAACCACTCTTAAACGACATGTGCACAATACTTCTGATTTCAGTGGCCTTCAATTACAATAGCAAAACTACTGTGGAGCAGGAAAAGCATTTAAAAGAAACAGGATGTTGAATGAAAACTACTCCCCTCATGCTCATCTGTGTAATGTATCAGGTATGACTTCCGAATACTCGCTGGTTCCCTCTCTTGTGTATACTGTACTGTTATGGTGGGGATGTGTTACGTGTTTGGGGTTTTAATTTTCAGGTACAGCTTGAGATACAAGTTGATTATATGCACACTGAAATGAGACCATTGTTGTTGTCTGTTATATCCATTTATTGCAGAGTATCCGGTATAATTTTGAGATATGGCAGTGGTAGATGTGAATTCTCAGTGTAATGATGTATGCTGCTTTGTTCTGTGACATGCATCTCGTTTCTAATGAAAGATTTCTGCCACAATTTTGCACAAGAAACATGTACCAGATCTTTCACCATGTAAATACCTGAATTAGTGTCACAGCAGAGGTATTTGAAATGGCATTAATACAAAATGCTTTTGAAAAAAAAAATTATAGAAGAAATAATGAAATATTGTGTGGATTAAGATAAAGGGAAAAGGAAAAAGGTTCATATGATAGTAGAATTTTTTTTAATACATGCACAATTGTAAATGGAAATGTTCTAAATCTGTTTATTCTAAATTTATCTTCTGGTAAAATCCATAAAATTTATGTTATGCCAAGGAGGTGTAAGGGGGATGGATAGGTTTTTTGCTTCTTTAAATTAGATGCACATTAATGTGTTTTGGTCAGTTGCTAGGTAGATATTGTATTAGGTAGGTGCACGCTTATAAAGAAATTAAAAAAATCTAAATCAATATTGCCTCAGTTCGTCTTGTTTAGTCAAGTATACAACCCGTTATATGTATCATAGGAATTTTTATTGTAGTGTGTTGTGAAAATGATTCCATAAGTGGTATTGTTGGTCTTAAAGTTGCATTGTTGGTCAGAAGTAGAAAGAATCACAGGATTTGTAATGTCAAAATGAAAAATAAAATTGCAACAGTCATCAATAATTACGTAAGCAAAAACAAACCAGAAATGGAAGAATCTGGGTAGAAGTATGGTCGTGATTCAAACAGTCTGATAACCAACACATAATTTCATCTGAAAATTATAAATTTTTGTGGAGGAATGACTCCTTACAGGTAATTTACTCAGTGATAAATGTAAGGTTGTTAAATAGAGGAGCCAGAGAAATGTTGTCCTGTCTGGTAAAATAAACTTTGGTTAAGCTTTCAAAGGTGATATATGATGTGTCTGTGATTGCCTTAGTTATAGATGTGAATTAGTGCAGAAGATATGTCACATAAGTCAAGAATGCACAGTATTTGAGAAAAATGTTTATATGTGCTGCACTTGTTGGTACAGATACTTTTTTTGTGGGAGAAAATGTGGAGGAAAGATAAAGATATGCCATATTTTCAGGTAAAAGAAAAGGGGAGGGGGGAGTTTAATAAGGACAAAAGTTCATGGAGCTATGAAAAGGTATCAAGGCATGTGACATGACTTTTGGACTGTTGGTAGAAAACATTGTTAAAGATTGTGTCCAGTAGTGTCTTAAAAATATATATCTATGATGTATGCTAATTTTCTTTTTTCCCTCTTTTGCATTTTTCAGATGCAGTCATTAGCTGTAATATCCAATATGAAGAGACAAGACAAACCACAAATTCCAAGTCAAAGATTCATGGGGGGAAAATACCACTATACAGATGCTCTGCTCTCCACCAAAGGAGAGGATTTTCATTGGTGTTTACTATATATGTATTTGTTCCTATTTCGAGGTATGTCTGTGTCATTGAAAATCCTTTATGGACATACTAAACAAAAACAAAATGCAATTTTGTTGAACTGTTATAGATAAATTCTTTGTATATACATTTGTTACTCGATATCATTTTGTCATTCACTGTTCATAAGAAACTTGTTCTGAAGTGTTGTTAACATTTCCAAAATTTTCTTCATACAGACATTTCCTAGTGTTTGCAGGATCTAAGAACCTGTTCATGTTAACAGATAAAAATAAAACCAAGTTTCCATGCTATTTTTGATTGATTTGTTATTTGTTATAATTCTTGTGTGTTGATTGTCAAGAAACGTTAATATGTTAATGACAGTGAAATGACTTTTTATTTGCTCCGTGATTACCTACCCAGTTTTAGGTCACCTGCGACAAAGTCTCGTGACCTGTTCTAATATCCTTCATCCGGCTTGTGCATCCATAAACAATTTAATACTTTACACTTCTTCTCAAAAACCCCTGATCCAATTTCAATGAACTTTTGCAGAAACCTTCCCTGGCCCAAGATGAACCAAAATTGTGAATTATACAGTCCCCACCCTTTAGGGGCCAAGAGGAGTTAAATTTCAAACATCTTCTTCTCAAGACCAAGATATGGTAGAATCAAATACTTTTCATGAATGGAAGCATCTTAAGGTGCTTTATAAAAATTGTGAATATCACGGCCCTAGTGTCTCGCATTTCCCCGTGGGGAGGGGTAAAAGTTTACTTTGGTTTAAATAGGAAAAATAGATTTTGGGACATTTAATTTCCATTGGAAATATTTCTAACCTGGTTAGAATTATGAGTGAATGGGTGGCGACTTGATGGTATGCTAATTTGATCCTGACTGACCCCTAGGGGCCAAAAGGGGTCAAATTGCATATTTTAGCTTAACGTTTGTTATTTCCCAATGGAATTATCAGTATAGGATGACAGTTATGATGGTATGCACGTATTTGCACTGCTTCATGACACTTGATAACTATCCTTTAACTTTAATATTCCATATTGCTTATCTTGGGTGACCATCAAGGCCGCTAGGATAGATTATTATTAATATTATGACGGCCATCAACACATAAAAGGTCATTAGGGCCATCAACCGGTAAAACACACAGCGATCCAAAAATGAATAACATCAAACTAACAGGTAAAAGACAAATGCTAAAAATTTTAAATGGTTATATTATCAATGAGTCGGTCAATAAAAAAGACCAACATCTTTCTGATAACCTAAAATTTTAATAATCTCAACAGTTTCAAGGGTTTTTAGACTTGTAATGTTACGATAAAAACACGTCAGGCTTTTGCCCTAATGATTTGATATTTGTTGAAACTATCACTTGTGGGATTGTTTTTGAATTGTCTCAAAGCAGTTTTCCTATTTCTAATAGCTTTATCACAATCTTCATTAATCCAAGTTTTTTGTTATGTTTTCATTTGGACTTTGGTATACATTCTTTGGCTATCTCAAGAAGTTCGGTAGTAAAGGATTCCATCGGCTCTTCTAAATTCAGGAAATCAGTGATGTTGAGCATTTTGGTACCGAGATGTTCAAATGTACAAAATCTGCCTTATATAATTTCCAATTGGTTACATGATCGCTCTCTGTGGATCCACAGTTCCTTAGGAATCGTCTAGTTGGTTGTTGGTGAAGTAGATAGATAGAACATACTGTAAGCGTTCTATTGAGCGTAACAATAACGGCAGTTCCCTGGAGGTCTGTATTTAATGGTATATTTCTGCGAGGAACTTTGTTAAGGATGAGTCTCGGGGCGAGAGGGGCAGGAACCAAATAGGGAAATGAGAGCAATTTTTTTAAAATACTACTCCGATGGGAATGATTGGGTATTGTGCAAAACTAGGTCTGAAGTATTGTTTGCTGAAGGAGAATCATTTGTTTAAATAATGGATCTCATTCCCCTGGGATTGGACCCAAAAGGGGTGATAGAGCCAATTCTTATAAATCCTACTGTGAATGATTTGATTTTGACCAAATTTGGTCTGAGGCATTTTTGGGTGAAGAGGTATCAATTTTGCCATGTAAAAGAAAGGCCCGTTCAAAATACATAGTGCATAACCAGGGACAAAATCCATGTTGACATATATGGCATCGTTCTAATATCTGTAATAAGGCATTACAGAAACCCTTATCATGGACTTCAAGATATTGACAATGTAACAACTTCAAACAAACGGACGAAAGTAGTTGCATTGCCTCTGTGCTGGACTTCTCATCTTTTTTATCACTGTTAGGACTTACCACAAGAAATGTTTGAAAAACAATTTTAAACTCTAAACTTTAAACAACATATATCCTATCAGAAGGCATCTTACAACAAGCCTTGAAAGATCTTAGGAGAGACATAAATGAACATTTTCGGCTTTATTAAAATCAAATACAGTCACAGCAGTTGCCAAATACCACCATGTGATGGGGACATCTCACAATTCTATGTTGGAACCAATGTCTGAAGATCGCATTGAAATATCAAATATTTACAATGTTGTTGTGATGTCATTTTATATGGCTGAACCACTTCACAAATTCCACAAAATTTCTAGGTCAGTATTATGGTTGAAGTACACAAGATAATGCATTTATTTTTCCACATTGATCACAAGGTAGCACGCATTTCTATGGAAGAAAATGTGGACCAGTATTAAGGTTTGTATTGTAAAATATGTAAAAAAATCTACTTTTGATGCAACATTTTTCTTTTAAGTAAGATATTTTGCTTAATTTTGTTCAGAATGCAAAAAAATTGAAGCCTGCAAACCTTGAAGGAACCAGCATTGTGTTGTTAGGGTTTTTTGTGGTGGGACAAGTCAGGCCAATTCGTTTATCCTATAGATACTGAGTGTTAACAAGGGAATGGACAGATGGCACAGGATAAACTATAATACCATGCATCGACGAGGGTAATTTCAGATGTTTTGAACATCTTTTTAATGTAAAATTTCATCAAAGCATAAATGCCAAATACAAAAATGACTTGAACAAAAGCAGATGTGTAAAAATCACAGACACTATGCTTTTATTGTGTGTTTCTATTCTTTTATTCTTTTTATTCCTTCAAGAACACAGTACTTCTATCATAACAAAAAGCATTAATTTTAACAGAATATGTATACTGTACTTGATAGTGCAGAAATATCTCTATTGCACTCTATGAACTCTTAACGAAACTGATTTTTCGTTCAACCTGTTCAACATATAATTATAAAATTAACAGAAAAGAAAATGTAAGTACAGCTTTAAAATAGTAATTTCTGGAAGTATTAATGTAATCAACCAAAGAAAATCATTTCATAGTTACAAAGGCTCTTGATATTTCCATCATTCTTCTGCTATGAAATAATGCCTAATAAAAGTATTGAAATTCACAATGAACCACAATTAACAATCACCACTGGCTTAGACGGATTCCCACCATCGGATCCAACAGCCTCCATTGCGTTGACGACATCCATACCACTTGTCACATCTCCAAATACTACATGTTTATTGTCCAGCCTGTAAAACAAATAAGTCTGATATCAAATTGAAAGTCTTGGCTTCTACATACAGAACCTTGCACTTTCTCAGTTTTCCTTGAGTTTCTTGACAAGTTTTTATAAAGATCACAATAAACATATAATTTTTATCACACACTAAATTATTTTGGAAAATATTACAAAAAATTTCTTTTCCATGCCAAAATAGTCATGCAAATTTATTGACATCCTCAATACTCTAGAGGTTACAATCACAACATCCTCAATACTCTAGAGGTTACAATCACTACATTCACGATACTCTAGGTGTTACAATCACTACATTCACAATACTCTAGATGCTACAATCACAACATTCACAATACTCTAGATGCTACAATCACAACATTCACGATACTCTAGGTGTTACAATCACAACATTCACGATACTCTCTGGGTAACAATCACAACATTCACAATACTCTGGATGTTACAATCACTACATTCACGATACTCTAGAGGTTACAATCACTACATTCACGATACTCTAGGTGTTACAATCACAACATTCACGATACTCTAGAGGTTACAATCACAACATTCACGATACTCTCTGGGTAACAATCACAACATTCACAATACTCTGGATGTTACAATCACTACATTCACGATACTCTAGAGGTTACAATCACTACATTCACGATACTCTAGGTGTTACAATCACAACATTCACGATACTCTAGAGGTTACAATCACAACATTCACGATACTCTCTGGGTAACAATCACAACATTCACGATACTCTAGGTGTTACACAACATTCACGATACTCTAGAGGTTACAATCACTACATTCACAATACTCTAGGTGTTACAATCACTACATTCACAATACTCTAGAGGTTACAATCACAACATTCACGATACTCTCTGGGTAACAATCACAACATTCACGATACTCTAGGTGTTACAATCATAACATTCACGATACTCTAGAGGTTACAATCACTACATTCACGATACTCTAGGTGTTACAATCACAACATTCACGATACTCTAGAGGTTACAATCACAACATTCACAATACTCTAGGTGTTACAATCACAACATTCACGATACTCTAGGTGTTACAATCACAACATTCACGATACTCTCTGGGTAACAATCACAACATTCACGATACTCTAGAGGTTACAATCACAACATTCACGATACTCTAGATGCTACAATCACAACATTCACGATACTCTAGGTGTTACAATCACAACATTCACAATACTCTCTGGGTAACAATCACTACATTCACGATACTCTAGATGTTACAATCACAACATTCACAATACTCTAGAGGTTACAATCACTACATTCACGATACTCTAGGTGTTACAATCACTACATTCACGATATCTCTGGTCAACAATCACTACATTCACAATACTCTAGATGTTACAATCACTACACTCACAATACTCTAGGTGTTACAATCACTACACTCACGATACTCTAGGTGTTACAATCACAACATTCACGATACTCTCTGGGTAACAATCACTACACTCACGATACTCTAGATGCTACAATCACCACATTCACAATACTCTGGATGTTACAATCACAACATTCACAATACTCTAGAGGTTACAATCACTACATTCACGATACTCTAGGTGTTACAATCACAACATTCACGATACTCTAGGTGTTACAATCACAACATTCACGATACTCTAGATGCTACAATCACCACATTCACAATACTCTGGATGTTACAATCACAACATTCACAATACTCTAGGTGTTACAATCACTACATTCACGATACTCTAGAGGTTACAATCACAACATTCACGATACTCTCTGGGTAACAATCACTACATTCACGATACTCTAGATGTTACAATCACAACATTCACAATACTCTAGAGGTTACAATCACTACATTCACGATACTCTAGGTGTTACAATCACTACATTCACGATACTCTCTGGTCAACAATCACTACATTCACAATACTCTAGATGTTACAATCACTACACTCACAATACTCTAGGTGTTACAATCACTACACTCACGATACTCTAGATGTTACAATCACAACATTCACGGTACTCTAGATGTTACAATCACAACATCCACGATACTCTAGATGCTACAATCACAACATTCACGATACTCTAGGTGTTACAATCACAACATTCACGATACTCTCTGGGTAACAATCACTACACTCACGATACTCTAGATGCTACAATCACAACATCCACGATACTCTAGATGCTACAATCACAACATTCACGATACTCTAGGTGTTACAATCACAACATTCACGATACTCTCTGGGTAACAATCACTACACTCACGATACTCTAGATGCTACAATCACCACATTCACAATACTCTGGATGTTACAATCACAACATTCACAATACTCTAGAGGTTACAATCACTACATTCACGATACTCTAGGTGTTACAATCACAACATTCACGATACTCTAGGTGTTACAATCACAACATTCACGATACTCTAGGTGTTACAATCACTACATTCACAATACTCTAGATGCTACAATCACAACATTCACAATACTCTAGATGCTACAATCACAACATTCACGGTACTCTAGATGTTACAATCACAACATCCACGATACTCTAGATGCTACAATCACAACATTCACGATACTCTAGGTGTTACAATCACAACATTCACGATACTCTCTGGGTAACAATCACTACACTCACGATACTCTAGATGCTACAATCACAACATCCACGATACTCTAGATGCTACAATCACAACATTCACGATACTCTCTGGGTAACAATCACTACACTCACGATACTCTAGATGCTACAATCACCACATTCATAATACTCTGGATGTTACAATCACAACATTCACAATACTCTAGAGGTTACAATCACTACATTCACGATACTCTAGGTGTTACAATCACAACATTCACGATACTCTAGGTGTTACAATCACAACATTCACGATACTCTAGGTGTTACAATCACTACATTCACAATGCTTAAGGGGATAAATTAACTTGCGCTCTCTTCACCCATGAAACATTTCATGGCAAATTGAAGGCACAAGTGAAGTTACCCAATTTGTCTAGAGCAGGTTTCAGGAGAAAAAAAAAATCTGAACAATCACTAACTGATATGCTCCTTTGAAGATTAAAAAGGAGAGACTTTTAAGTCAGTAGAACATGTTGTTATGCAACCACAAGATTGGTTTTTATGTACATGAAAGGACCAAACTACTTTTTTCCCCCTTGACTACAAGGTGTCGCACATAGAACTTTCAATTTTGCCATGAAATGTTCCAGGGGTGCAGAGAGCAACGGAGACAGACAGTGACGGAGCGTAACTCCAGGAGTGTCAAGGATGATTTTTTGGTATCCATTAGGATGTGATATTCGGCCATATAACAAGTTCATTCACAAATAACGTAGCAATCAGTTGGTAAGATACACTTATCACAGGATTGCCTTTCAATTTAATATTTTAGCATATTAAGCATACAGAATTTATTGTACATTTATTTTACTTTGATTAATTTCATAAATGACATATCAAATAAAACTATTGTTAGCTCCAGTACATAGGAATATATTTATAAAGTAACAAGATCATGTACCATTGAGGAATATTCAACTTTGAGATATCCTGACTTACCAGCTTGTTTTCGCTGTACAGATGAAGAACTGGGATCCATTGCTATTCGGGCCAGAGTTGGCCATGGACAGAGTTCCTATCAAAGAAAATTTCCCTTATCAAAAATGTCTTTATCTGTTCTAAAACATCTCGACCCAATGACACCAAAATAAATCACTGCTATCCATGATTCATTTTACTGCATAATTTAATTTGTCAATTAAATTCTATTTGTGGTATCCATAAAGCAAAAGTACTGGGGTCTCATCATTTCATTGGTGTGTAAAATATATTCTTTTTCTGCAGACATCAAAAATCAGCTCTCCGAAACCTCTCCATGTCTCCTACTGATTGTACTTTAATGTTAACCAAATACAAGAGCTGCCTTCCAAAATAGTCCAACAAGAGAATTTAGACAGATATTGACACCAACAATGAAATCTGAAAATTTCTCTTAAAAGATGTTGATAATAATCTTAAAACTGCAAATTCAAAAATGGTCGACTGTTGGCAATTTTTTTCTCTCTTTTTTTCATCAGTCTTAAAATCAAAAGGGACAAAACTAATGACCAAGCAGAACCTTCATATGAAATTTGATGAAGACTCATCCAGTACTTCTCATGAAAAAGCAATAACAAACTTTCAATTTCAAAATCCAAAATGGCCACTTATTTGCAATTCTGTTTTTCTGTTCAGTCCCAAAATCAAAACAGCACAACTACGGATCAAGGGGAACCTTAATATGAAAATTAAGAGCCATCCAGTACTTTAAGAAATGGTGATAAAAACATTTTACAGTAGACAAGGAATGTAAGGCAATTGTATATATATATATCAGAATTAGTTATGACAACTTAACAAATACTTGGTGAGAACCAAAGTAACAAAGTCAACTTAATAGTAAATTAAGTGAATCAGGCTCTGAAAAGTTTAAATTGTTGTATACAGAGGTAAGTTCCAGGATTCCTTATGATAATTTATATACTTATTAAATGTTGACAACACTTTTCGAGGGAAAGTTATATGAATGTTTAGCACTCCATTGCACAGCAAACATAAAGCATTGATAATTGCTTGCTTACTTATTCGATGACCCTTCCTTAAACATGCAGTAAGACAAAATGTGTCATAAAGAATTACTGGCTATTTACCTTTTCCTTTGTGCTTCAAAATGAAGTTTTCATCATCAAATTTTTTTCCATAGATACTTTTCCCTCCTGTTCCATTGCCTTTGGTAAAGTCACCTCCTTGGCACATAAAGCCAGGGATGATTCTATGGAACTTTGAACCTTTATAGCCAAAACCTTTCTCACCAGTGCAGAGTGCTCTGAAGTTTTCTGAAATATCAATATTTAAATTCTGATTAAAAATAATGTAAAAAATTCAATGATTTTAATCCATAATAAATATGAGGCCCTAGAACCTTCCATTACTCACCAGTCATCTAATATTCAATGCTTGGCACAAAAGACATTATCATCTCCAGTTATTGACCTTTAAAATGGGTCTAAATTAAAATTGATCAAACTTGAAAAACTAGCTTACATTCAATCCAGGTTATATATTACAGTACAACTAACCAACATTTTTTTTGAAAGACTTCCGTATAATACAAACAAATATAGGTTATATATGTGTGTTTACCAGTGTGATCTTGAATATGGGTTCTGGACCCACGTTCTTTTAGTTTTCCACTTACCAACTGAATTCCAGGAATCTCTTCACCAAATATTGCCATTCAAGTTTGATACTTGTGACCTTTAATATGAATCAATGTGATCCTAGGGAGTTATTAAGCAAAATCACACAACCTTTGACCCTTTGATTACTAAGATGTCATTTTGAATTCTTTTTACCAATTCAACCATGTGATATTGAATACTGGTCAAGGTCATATTTTTTCATATTCATTATGAAGAAATCAATTTTTCTTTGGATATTTATGATACTTATACTAAATTCATTTTTTGATGTGTCACCATGGTTTCAGGTCTGGCCTTAGGTTAGCTAAAATCTGTTTTGCCTTATTGTAATCTAAGCTTTATTTTTATCATGCTTACCTGCTGTTTTGGGAACCTTTTCAGTTTCTAACTGAAACAGAAATAAAATAAGGACTGTATAAAGATATCATTTGTTTGCGATGCAATACATGGCTTTAAATTACGAGACTGCTCTAAATATACTAGGTCCTGCTGCAGCAATATGTCCTCTAATGCAAATCTAACAAGGCATCACACACGATACAAATACATAAGTGAGCTAAAAACACATTTCTTCTAGAAACTCAACAAGAAATCCTGAAAAGTCTATCTTGTTGTGCATCTTTCACTGGTCAAACTGACATTCATATATATATATTTATATATATGGGCAAGAATTCGCTAATGAAATTTTAGTGTCAAAGTAGTTTATCCAATACACTAATGAAATTTTAGTGTCAAAGTAGTTTATCCAATTAAAAACAAACAAAATCATGCAAGTATGGATAATAAAGTTTGTTTAAATATTAAAGTTGATTTATTTTTATCGTTATATGAAAAATCAAATTGATCTAATAGATTAAATAACAAGGAAACAGCACAAGTTGTATGCCGCCAGTGGATAAATTATAGGCAAAAAGTGTGACATTTCTGCAGTAGTGAAACTCTGAGTCGTATTTATTAAATGCATGAAGAATTGTGGTGCTGTAAAAGTTGTTAATCAACTGCAAAATGATCGGTTTATCAATAAAAACACTTGTTTTGTTTTGTACAGAATTTGATTAATGCTGCCAAAAATAGGCCAATGTACATAACTTTTCGCGTCAACAAATGTTACGTGCACGTTTCCCTCAGTAAATATGTTTGGAAACGCATCGTCGACACAGCATTTGCAAATTTACGAAGTGTCAACACAAGGTACGATATGATTGTCGTAATTTTCATCAATCAACTGGAGTTCGGAAAATATATCAGGTAATAAAATATAATTAATTTGGTGTCCAAACTACCATAAAATACTCCCTCTCTTTGGAACAGTTGTATTTCTGTAACAGATCGCATAACGATAATGTTTTTTGCGATATTTCCCAGTAACGTTAACACATGACTATGCAGTTTTCAAAAATAGCATCTATTGGTATAGAGGAACACAAGGAGACCACGGAATCTGGTAATTTTGATCACGTAACGAAGTGTTACGCACACATTCAGAGTCAAATATTATGTTTGATAATGTTGTGTGATTTATTTCTTTGTATTTTTCAACAAAATAAACAGTAGATCTGGTATTTGAAACAGGTTTGACCTCACAATAGCGATTTTTTGGTGGGAACGATTTCCGTACATATCCTTGACCCGAAAATAAATAATTGCACGTTTTTGGTGTCAATGTTACATGCAACTACTTAAACAATATTATATTTGAGATATGTGGGAGTATAATTATAATTTACATACAGATAGTGTATTGTAGGGCTATTTATATGTTTTAATAGCATTACTGGCATGCTTTATGATTCATATGTGTGTCCATGTTACATGCCAGGGCTCTCGATCTGCAGATTTGGGGCCGATATTCGGCCCTATTCCCAATGCAAAATAGTATCTTTTGTTCCCAATTTATACCTGAAGTTTTCCCAATTCTAAGGAAAACACCATTTTTTTCCCAATTCTAAGGGCCCCAGTCCGAAATGGGGTGTGAGAGCCCTGCATGCAACATATGTGTAACTACTTCATCACTGAAATGAGAAGATTGCAAAAAATATTGATAGTATTTTCTTTATACCACAGTAACACAATGAAAAAATGACTTTCCTTGTTTACCAAGAACATAATTTTTATTACATTTATCTCTTAAAAATTACATGTAACATTGTCAGAACAATAAGAGAAAACCTGTTTTCATAGAATTTCTGAAATACATGATAAATTTGAAAAAATGCAATTTTTTAAGTCGAGATGACGGACAATATTTTAGATAAACAAACCTAATCCTAAACTTTAAACAGGTCAAAGAACCATCGATCTCAGTTTGGGAATAGTGTCTATGTTTGAGCTCTAAATTCATTAATTTTCTTTGTTCTTAACTGAAGTAAGTTTCAAATTGATTTCTTTGTTACACATATAAAGCCACCATTTACAGTTATACTTCAAACAAAATTTGTAGGCTTATGAATATTTTTATTTTCTTCTTGCAATGTCACTGGTTACATTAGCTCATTCTTGCCCATATACAGGAGTATCGTTTGAAAATTGAATGTATTATCGGGACCGTTTTGTTTATCGCATGTCGGTTTTACCAATGGAAGATGCACCACAAGATAGACTTTTCGGGATATATATATCTATATATAATGTCCTTAAAGAAATCCTAGTTTTGTCTAGTTTGCTTACCTTCATTACTATCCTCCCGGTTGGCTTACCGCCGATACTGATATCGAAGAAAACTTCAGTCATTCTTGCACGTGGTTTACCTTAAAACAAAAGAAAACTACATTAGCTCCATTTCTCTGAAACAGGTATAAATTATAGCAGAAAAAATCAAGTAAGATACTGCTATGCTTTAAATACACAGATTTAGAGCACAAACCGGCTGCAGATGAAATGGTTCCCACACCGGAAGTAGGCCTAGATTGGGGCGTGGGTGCGCATTCAAAATATGAGATTTTCGGGCATCGTAACTCTATCGGTCATGTGACAGCACTTCCGCCTCCGATAACATCCCTAAATCTCAGAGACACTTACTGTGACACAGAAGTACAGATGTATTACATAAAATCAGAGTTGTTATATACGTCTCTGATAAAATCAATAATTGAACGGAAATGACATTCTGAAGACAGAAAAAAATAACCATAACACAAACCATGGACGTATATATATGTATTATACGTCCCTGCACAAACTATTTAAATAAAGTTTATTTTTCATTGGTGGGTCTACAATTCGCTAGTTAATGCGACTACAATGTGTATCGCTTTATTATGGATATATTTTATCATTCATTAGCCGAATTCTCCATTTCCCGATGTTGAAATCTAATGTTTAGTTTATATACAATGGTTTGTGCAACAGCATCCTCTAGGTATATATTTGTGTATTCGTCAAACCATAGAGGGTGATTTTCCCAGAGTTTGTCAATTCTGTTCTTGAAAAGGTTAGTTGTTCTGGCTGAGACTACTTGTTCAGGAAGACTATTCCATGTATCTACTACTCTGTGTGCAAAGTTGTATTTCCTAATGTCTCTGGTACAATGTTGTTTCGTTAATTTTAATGAATTGCCTCTTGTGCTGCTGGACATGTTTAATTTCAACAAATCAGAAGTAACTTTCTGGTCATAAATTCCTTTCAAAATTTTAAAGACTTCGATCATGTCTCCTCGCATCCGTCTGAATTTGAGGGTTGGTAACTTCAGTCGTTTTAGACGATGTTCATAACTCATGTCTTTCATGTTTGGTAGCATCCTTGTAGCACGCCTTTGGACATTTTCTACTGCCTCCATATCCTTTTTCTTATACGGTGACCAGACAGAGCTTGCATATTCCATATAAGGCCTGACCAGAGCTTTAAACAATAAGCAGAATGTTCTGTTATCCAAATATATAAAGCTACGTCTCATTGGCCCAACAGTCTGGTTTGCCTTATTTACTTGAGTTTGTATATGCTTCTCAAATGTAAGATGCCTGTCTATGGTTACCCCAATATCCCCCTTGCTTCCAACATTTTCCAGGACTTCTCTACCACTATCGTATATATTCATGCTATACTTAGTTTCCTCAACAGTCTTACCGTTGTTGTGGATGGATAAAACCTTACACTTATCTGGATGAAACTTCAACAACCATCTTTCACTCCATTGGTACAGCTGGTCAAGATCATACTGAAGTATTGAAGTGTCACCAGTGTCCTTAATCACCCTATATACTTTAGTGTCATCCGCAAATAAAAACACGTCAGATGATACACATTCAGGTAAGACATTTATAAAAATCACAAATAGAACAGGCCCAAGAACTGATCCTTGGGGTATTCCACTGGTTACTTCATGCCACTTAGAATGTGCCCCATTGACTTGTACACACTGTTTCCTATTTTTAAGAAAATTTCCAATCCAGGTACATAGATTCTTGTTTATTCCATACATTTTGAGCTTCTCGATAAGTCTTTGGTGTGGCACTTTGTCAAAGGCCTTCATGAAGTCCATATATACAGTGTGTATAACTCCTCCTTGGTCCAGAACTTCAATCCATTTATCTAATACACATAGTAGTTGTAATGCAGTTGACCTCCCTCCTAAAAATCCAAATTGTCTGTCACTGAATTTTTTTCCATGTACTCCATTATTCTTGATCTAATTAACTTTTCCATCATTTTACACAAAATACCTGTCAGGCTGACTGGTCTGTAGTTTGATGCTGACCTTTTGTCTCCTTTCTTAAAAATAGCAGTGATAGTGGCAACTTTCCATATCTCTGGTATGCTACCTGACCTCAACGACATTCCCAATATCCTGAAAATTGGTTTGTTTATCACAGAACGCAATTCATACAACACCTTTGGATGTAACTTGTCAGGCCCAGGAGATTTAGTAACACTCATTTTATGGATTAGATTATTAACCTCCTCAATTGTTATATTTTATTGTCTGCTCCCCTTCAGCCATTAAGTTACAACGGGTGTTTGTGTACTTTGTTTTCGCTTATTATTTACTCTTTTTTTCACGTTTCAAATTTTCAGGTTCTCACGATCGGGATTTCAATGCCTGTTACTGAAATCAACTGCTAAATATTAACTCACAGACTATTGCGTATACTTCCTATGAAGACGATTTGGTACTCCGTTTTCACTGCGTTTCTTCTGCGTTGAGACTCATCGTCGCTTGCTCACGTGATTTTTTTAATTCGTTTGTTCATTCAAATGCAGTAGACCGTGTCAGTAGTTCTACAAGGAAACCGCAGTCTTCGCCTCCCCCGCTTTTAATCATGGGACCTAAGCGTCCTACTGTTGTGATTCTTTATTAGTATACTGGGCATGGAGAACAGGGGAATGGTCAAAGGGAGATAACTGAAATCAGGAAATTATTGTATATCATTTTATTAGTGTGTACTCAAGTCCGGATAAAGCTAACCGGCAACCACTTTTTGTATTAGTATAAGACGAGAATAAAATGCATGGCTGACGTACATGAATCCCTTTCACATTTAATAGCTCACCTGGCCCAAAGGGCTTATGCCATAACGCGGTGTCCGTCGTCCGCCCGTCCTGCGTCCGTCAACTTTTCATATAAACAACTTCGTCTGAAATACCGGAAGGCCTATAATCATTATATTTGGCTGGAAGGTTCCTTTGATGAAGCCCAACAAAGGTTGCAAAAAGAAATGACCTTGACCCATATTTAAGGTCACAGAGGTTAAATGTGTTGAAACATTTAAACGACTTCTTCCATAATACCAAAAGGCCTAGAATCATTATATTAGGCTACTATGTTCCTCTTATGGTGTCCTACAAAGTTTGCTAAAAGAAAATACCTTGACCAATCTTCAAGGTCACAGAGGTCAAATGTGTTAAAACATTTAAACAATTTCTTATGAAATATAGAAAATATTATATTTGGCCAGTATGTTCCTTTTATGAAGTCCAAGAAAGTTTGCAAAAAGAAATGACCTTGCCACATAGTCAAGGTCACAGGGGTCAAATGTGTTAAACCTTTAAATTACATTTTCTGATGATCCAAAACATCTAGGATAGTGATATTATTCCAAACAGAAATGACCTTGACCCATATTCAAGGTCACAACAGTCAAATGTGTTAAACCTTTGAACAACTTCTGATTAAGGTAAAGGCTTAGGATCATAATATTTGTCCAAAACCCATCATATTTGGCCATTAAAGGCTTATATACAAATGACTTATTTTGGACTACTAAGGGACAGAACCCATATGGAGTAATTTGTCATATTGCTTTAAGCATCTACTGTGGAACATCTGCACAGATATTGTACAGTTGGTCATAAAGATCAAGGTGAGCGATACAGGCCCTCTGGCCCTCTTGTTCATCACATGGTGGAAAATCCAATCGACATGCATCAAATGTGAAGAACTGTTGTTTATGGTAACATTATTTGTGTATTTGAACTTTATGCCGAGATATTGATCTTGAATACTAGGCCTACATTCAGACGAAACATTCTGCTCGTTGTCGCAGAAAGTACGATTTTCCCGCCATCTTTAGACCACAGTTGTCACAGGGATCCTGTGATGGATTCCTCATATTTAACTCCTCAGAGCCGTGGGCCACCCATTTTAACACCCGAGTTACCCTTCGCCTGCTCATGATAACCGCATTCGCTGGACAATTTTCGTCAGGACCATGTTCCACTGGTTCCAGTGTTGCCCACTGAGACACGTGATCGACCGTCGGTGAGCGTCAGTGATCTAACACTACCAAAATTTCATGGTTATTTGTATGAAAATGGTGTGAAATTTCTGAGCGAGTTTCACTCCTATACCGTCTTTCATGGGATCACCCAGGATCATAAGCGGTGCATAGCGGCATTCCACCTTCACCTTCCTGGACCAGCATTAGTTTGGTATGGCCAACTTCCCGCTGAGAATGCTATCTGGGGAAAACCCTCTTCATTGAATCAAAAAGCTCTCAAAGCAATTCAGAGGAAACCACCTCCATTTGTGTAAGTGTTCATGGAACTGTACTTATTTGTTGAGTTATGGTTTCTTGCCAATGAGAATGAGTTTACTTTATATTACCATTTTCCATACATTTGTAATTTCACCATAATTGTGTATGATCTTTCAATTTTACAAAAATTGAACCCAGAAATATTGAATTATATTGCATGTACTACATGTATTTGTATGGATATCTGTGATTTGAAACTAAGGTTTCCATTGTTTCTTGAGATTATTTTAAAATAATCTATGTTAAATAATTTCTATCAGATTATTTGGAATTATTTCACCTTGTGTGCTGCTTTATTGTCTAGAATATCTTGCCTTTAAATTACTTAAGAAATATGTCATTATTTGATGATACCTTGATGCCTTTGAGCCCATTTTTTTAATGAGATTAAGCAAACTTTCAATGCATCTTTGATATTTTTATGTAATTCTTGATTGTTCATGTCAAACCATATTAAATTTGTCATGGATGTTTTGCTATCACGGTGATTAAGAGTAGGTTCATTAAATGAAAAATATTATATCATTTCAACTTCTCAGGTGTCAGTAACTACCTGTTTGGTATTTGATCTATGTAACTTCTATGATAATATGAGCTCCAACTTTTCCCAAAATTGATTATGTACTGAAATGATGCTGAAATGCATTGTAAAAGTTAGAAATGAAATAGCCAGAAAATTATGGTAATAATGATCTCTATTTTAACTTGATGTAGTTAAGTTTTTGCTTGATGCGTGTTAGATTGTGAATTCTTGGCCAGATTTTACATGTATGAATGATTGTATGTATGTATCTTGCTATAGCAGGTTTTTTTTAAGATCTTATTTTGAAATATACACTGTTTACAGTGACTTCTATAGAGTTCCACATCTCGCTGGTAATGTAATTGTTTTGTATGATATATATCCCTTATATTTCCATAAAGTATAACATTCA